TCACCTCTATTCAGTACTCTTCAGACCTAATCTAAGTCCCATATATCCCCTCCATCAACTTACCCTTATACTCAAGTTTGTTCAACTTGGTTCCATTTTTGCTATTCTTGTTGCACTCCTCTGACCACAAAGTCTCCCAAAACCTGCTTTGTTTGGAAAATCTACTGAAGCACATGCTGTAATTAAGTCACTAATCAAATGAACTTCCAAACACTTTCACTCACAAAGAACAGCCAGACTTGGGCTGTGAAAATCGACTGGGGTTTTGTAATGGTATTCTGATATTTCTCTTATCTTTCAAGTATCATTGAGATGATTTTTCTGAATTCTGTACATTTAGTGTAGATGCCTTATGAAAGGTTACCAACACAAATACTCAACATGTGAATGGGCCATAAAATAAGTCACATTCTGGTGAGGGTAAAAATTTGTACCCATGGGCTTAAATTTGTGTCTCACATATGTATGAAAAAGACAAAAGCCTACTGTGTTTATTCAATTCAGAAACATATTCATACAATTGCTCGTGTACTCTCAAATGATTGAAAAACATTACAAAGATATAATGATATCACATCATTGCTTCATTAAGATCCTCCCATTCCAGATCGATGTCTTCATCACTTGAGTCTCCATTCAAATCTCCATCAGTATTAGTAACACCTTCACTTGTATAATCATGATTAGGTATGACTTCATCATCTAGTTGATTAGTTGCCTGAGTATTTTTTACCGCCCACAAATTAGTCACTATACCTGGATTCAATGAAATCGCATCCTGTGAGTACATATGATGAATTGTTTGAATTTGATTTTTCCAGCTCAATTTCAGATCGATGTCGCCTTCTTGCGATGGCGTGTTATGAAGTACCTCACCCAGACACTTGTTCCAGTCAGCTTGCAAGTTGAATATTCGCACTAGCCTTTCATTCAAGATGATACATGAAGCTTTGATCTTACCAGCACTGCTAAGCGATTTAAAAGCCGGATGATCAACCAGTGGAAGGTGATCTTCCTCAGGAGGACCCTGTGCCTGAAGTCGACAAAGATGAGTTGATAGGGTATTGTGCAAATCAATCGACCATCGCATCACTCTTCTAACTTCCCACCCCAATCGACGGATCTCTTCATTGGCTCGATCATAGTATGCAACCTGGCGCATTCCGTGCTGTGTGTTAGCATCGACTGCCCAAGGCTCACGTCCGTTGGTAAACAGGCCATCGTTCCAAAACGAGTGATCAAAGTCGATTTTGAGAAGGTCGAGGTAGGAGATGCTTGGCGGTTGTGATTGATGTGGAGAAGTGGTAGAATACGATACTACCAGCTTCTGATAGATCTCCAGTTTTGTCTTCAATTTCGCGGCCTGGTCGCGGAGTGACTTAAGCAAGTGAGTTTTGTCATTGTAACCTGCGCATTGATGAAACCCATATGATCAGTTGGAAATAAAAGCTGAAAGAAGCAATGTTAGAATAATGAGTCACTTACCAATGCTGGAATTCTTCCCATCGCGTCGGCTAACCTCCAGTGGCCGTTTCTGCTCACAAATAGCCACAAACTGATTACGAACTTCTTGCTTTGCATACCATATTTTCAAAATCTGGTATTGTTCTTGTGCTGCAGTCCAAAAAAAGGCAGGTGAGCACGATAATTACTCGGTCTAAGATATAAATGTAATTGTTTACCATTCAGATTGTTCAAGATCGCTTCAGAACCGATCTTCGAACGTTGTTTTTCAATCTTTTGCTTGATTTTGCTGTGTTCATTGAGCCTGGAAATGGCTTCATCGACATCATGCGCATCTCGATCCCTTAATTCAATCCATTGAAATGTAAGCTTGCCTTTTTTGAACTGAAAATTTAATTGACACTATTCACCAGATTTCTTGAGCCATCTCTTCTAAGCATAGTAATCGACCAAGTTCGATTTTTTGTTTGTCTTGAATATGACATCTCTTGTTTTGAGAGTTGCGCTCCATGATCCATTGTTCACGCAGGAACTCGTAAGTATAGCAGATTGTGGGGAATAGTGAACTTTTCTGCCTTGATAATTTGGACAGGGCGTTCCGAGTGTCACGTAATACAGTATTAGCATTGCGTAGGTGGCGTAAAAGCCAATCAGCTGCATCAAATCAGAATCAGCTTCTGATCAGGCTAATCAAATACGCTAAAATCTACATACCTGTTGTTTTCAAAGTGATTTCCATAAAATAGTCGGCCCGCCAATTTATGTTGAGAAGTCGATGGAGTCGTGTGGATATGCAATTCACCGCTACCAATAAAGATAAGAACGACCAGAACCGTTCGAGTCCTTCACCATCTGTCAATCCCCAAAAATTGTTGAAGCGCGGGTTGTAGAGTACTTGACATGCCCAGTTATGTACATAAGCGTGAAAAACCGATGTGCCAAATTTAAGTCTATCTGCAATTTGTTCAAATAAGTTTCTCTTTAGACAAAATGGCATTAGTATTAAGCTTGAAAGGTTGGTATATTATGAAATCACTTGCCTTTTTTATATGTGCGTCAAGCTGACACCCGATGTCATATAGAACTCCTATTATGATATCTGGCAAATCCCGCAACAATTGATCGAGGATACTCAATGGATAGTAAAGCCTGCAGACAAGTATCAAAACCAGAAATTAACGTTGAGATATTGGAATATGTCAAGTGAAATTATATCACTTACTTTTCACCCGTTTTGTAGATATTGGCTAACTTCAAGGGCACATCGTGGCGGCAAGTACATCCAAAGAGACCGGTATCATCACTTCTTTTCCATGAGGTTGAGTTCCTCACATCGTTTGCTGCGGTGTGAGAGTCAGAGCAGGGATTCTAAATTAAAATTGAGTTAGCTATAAGTTTTGATGTAAGATTAATTTGTAATTCCTACCTTAATGTTCTTGGCTTGGGCTTCGGTCGAATGCTGAAGAATCTCGTGCTTTTTCATATCAGACGGTTTTATAAAAATCTCCGGATACTCGTCTTCGGTAGGATTATCTTTGCTTGACTGGGTGTAATGCCTATGTTGAAAATTACCATCTAAAGCAACAATAACATGTGGCTCTTGAGGTAAATGTTCTTCATTAATTGCTGGTCCAAAACATCTACCACAGCGATCAGCCAATAGTTGAGCGTTTGAAAGTGTGAGGCCTTCGTTATAAATTTTCTTCGTACAGAGCATGATTGATCGATACATGTTGACTGAGTTGGAGAATTGTCTTCTGAGATCACGTTCATGAATCAGTGATCGGTATTTATAAGATTGAGGTTTCAGGTTGGTTTTGCTTCGTAGATTGAGAAATGACATTAATCCATTGATGAATCCGGTACTTGAAATCGTAGTCGTATTCCAAAGTTGATGATGAAATTGGAGGACCCGTACTGAGAAGGCTGTCTGTGGAGATTGAGGCGAGCTTGATATGTATCCATGGTGTAGAAGGCGTACAGGTTTGGGCATGCACACACAGAAAGAAATATAGGTTTTGCTGTGAAATCCTAAGATGTCGATAAGATCAAGGGGTTGCAATGTGAGTTCAGAATCGGAGCATTGACAGTGTATATTTTGATCGAGGTACGAGGCTTCAGAAGTCCAATTCCTTCGTTTATGCTGAAGTTCTAGATAAGTAGCAGTCATCGGAACTTCAATTTCTTTCCACTGAAGTTTTTGACGTCTTCGAGCCTCTTCTTTCCAATATTCACGACTTTCTTGAGCAAAGTGATCGGCATCGTCAGGGATCGGAGGAGTAGAGGGTTCTGCTTGGTCCGGAAAAGGCATGTATTGAGCCAATACGGGGTCATTGAGTGAGTCCTCGAGATTTGCATTCGAACCGTGAACAGGCTGGTTAGTGATGCCGAGAGAAGCCGAGATCGATTGGGCTTGTTGAGGAGTGATCTTAGGGGGAGTGGCAGCCTTTCGACACCGCTTTGACCTGAAACCCATGTTGCCAAGAAGATTTTTTGGTTTGTTCTTTCCTCCCATATCTGTGAGGTGTATCGAAGGTGAATATGATGAATATCGAAATTGATGATATGATGATTCTTGAAAGTAAGAATACCTGAACGTTTGTGGACGGGGTTCAGAATTTGATGCCACTGGGACCGGGTTACAGCCACGGGTACCGTAGGGCCTCTGAAGCCGGATTTGGTCAAGTTCGGGTCAAGATTTTGAAAAAAATCTTGGCCAAGTGTGAGCCTGTATCGGGGTCCGTTCTCAAGTGTTATCTGAGAACAGTTGAGAACACGCAAAATCCACTACCAGTCGATTTTACATCTCTCCTCGACTCGACTGGTAGTGGAAGAATACAGGGTTCCGCGGTGATCCGGTCTTGACATCTGGATCGTTCCTGAGAAGGAGGTGGGGACCGGCCAAACACGTGCGTTTGTCACACGTGGTTCAACCTGTGTCAGGCAAGTTAGGGCAAGTTCCAGTCACTGTTCTCTGAAATCTCGTGACTGGAATCGGTTGAGAAGCGTCATCTCATCGAAAAACCTGGACACGTTTCTGTAACCATCCGAGGCCGAGGACTTTTACCCCCTGGTGTATTCCACAAAAGCTTGACCTAAACTTAGCAAAGTCCCACGCAGTCAGCTGTCGCTTGCGACAGCGCCAGCCTGCGAGGGACTCTAAAAGATCCAAAGTTGCACAAACTCATGAGTCATGAGTCCCAGTTGAGCCTTTTGCAGGTGTCTTTAAATTTCATGATGCAGTCCACCACCACAACAGTGAGTACTCAGGATGAGCCCCGACACCCGGGGAATATCGGGTCCCCGCGGGCGCTCCCGGCGGGTTCAGGGTTCGAGCCAGCCTGTATTGGATGGCTATACCCTGGGGTATAGTCGTTCCGGGGGGTCGTTATGGCAGGAACAAAAAAACGATTCTCCTCGGGGACCCCGGGGGAATAGTCATAAAAGCAATGAGAGGAATCGAGGATAATATAGCAATAGAAACAACAACGAAGACAAAACAACGCAGACATTTGTATAAAAAGGCTAATCGACAATGATAGGGAGGACCTTGGAAGTGAGATTCTTGACAGTACGGTACAAGTGTCATGTTGCTGTTGCGGAAGTCTTAGGTACAGAGCTAGTACTAGTAGTAGGAGTGCTTGACATATTCAATATGAATGTGTCGTTAGAATTTCTTGTTAGATAAATGATTGGGTTGTTGGTTGGAAAACGAAAGGAAATGTTTAAATCAAAATCTCTTGAATCGAGTCTCAATTCTCAAGTCTTTTAATGATTAATCTTATTTCTCACATGATCTCAATGGGTCTAGTCCCTTGCTTTGAAGTTTTGAGCGCAAGGGACTAGACTCCTCCTGGCCATATCTTGTCCCAGAGAGTTCCTAGACCTCTTTCGATCACGACTTTTTTCTCTCAAGCCTCGGATTGCCTCGGATTGCCTCGGATTACCGGGTTTACCCGGAAATCCCCCGGCGCCCGGCGCCCCCGTCGAGGCTCTCGGTCCGGGAGGCGTTCTCAGGCTGTAGCTGGGAAAATTAATCGGGTTTGCCGGGCTCGGGTGCCGTGCTGACGCTTAAAAAAAATTATATCTTGTCGGCGCCTCGAAACCCGGCACTCGGGGGACGGGTCTCAACCTGAGTGAGTACTGTCGTTCTCATAGCCTTTCCTAATGTCACAATTATGTACTTTGTTTGTTTCGATAGTTCACGCTGACATTAGCTTCATAGTGTCTCTAACAAAGGCAAGTGGGAGTCTGGAGATACACTGTGATTGTATGCTTAGAATTCCGCGCCAATTTGCTCAAATTTGGCGGGCAAATGTTTCCAAGCTTTCTGAAATCGATGTATTTTAAAACTCTCTGTCTCTGAAGTTTTGATTCCGACTTTGAGAGACCCCCTAAAAATTTGGAATCAACAAAAACTGACTCGCTCCTTATATGTATCTCATCTCTACAGACTGCATACATATACGAAGAAAACAGAGCTATAAATCTTTCGCTCCGAGTCTTTACTCACAGGTCGATTTTTTATATTTGAGCAGATCTTTGAGATCTCCGAGCGGCGTCTTTCCTCATCTTTTCTCTTGGAGTGCAAGATGATTCAACATATGTTATCCCGACGCACAATACTTATATGCTTAGCTTCAGGGTTGATTGCTTCGTTCAAATCCCATCCCAAAGAGTGCGCGCCTTCATCTCCTTCACCTTATCATGGATAGTTTCTTCAGGGGTATTATTGACAAGCTCTTTTTCATCACCTAGCTATTTACAAACTTTTCTGAATGTGGTCCCGAAGTACGATACATGCGCCCCTCCCAATGGACCAATACCTTCTTCAAAGCCTGGTGATGCACCTTTTGTCAGTATTCACGTGTTTTTCATTTTGTGTATCTAATAATTTCCTCGTGAAAAGAGCGGACACCATGATTTACTGAGATCCAACGGCGCATGGTTATAGTCGCAAGGGCAAAAGTCTTACGAAAGTGCCATCCACTGTCCGCGGGGTATTCGAGACATGCCAAGAGGTGAAGCACTCTTGTTTACACCTGAATTTTGAAATAAACTTACTGAACGTTTTTAGGAATCGTTCTAATGGTTCCTTGCACGAGTGAGTGGATGGGTTCCTTTCAGGATTTGACATATTCAGGCATTTAACACTTGCTTCGATGTTTTAGGCGCCAATGGCGCGGAAGTGTTTTCCAAAGTAGGACAACACTTTTCTCAGAGTCTACTCACACATCCAAGTTGAGATGTGGTGTGCTTTTTTTACCAGACTCCGTTCCTTAAACATCTGCCAGAAGCCGGTTTCGACGTATGTTGGGTAGATCCACCATGTGCGCAGACTGTTTATGACCTAGAGTACCACTATTTTTCCTTAGCTCACACTCAGTCTACACATTTCAGCATACGGTCTAGGAGATATGCAGATTGCTGGGGAGTTCGTAGCGTACGCTGTTAGCAACCTCGCCAGCTCATCACCTAGTGGCAAGATAAATGTTGTGACTCATAGTCAAGGCGGTGTAAACGTTAGCGAGCCATTTTATGTGTTCTTAAGCCCATCCCAACTGACACCTTGACTGATTTATAGGCTCAGTGGGCTATCAGTTAGTTAATCGCTCCAAGCTTTGTTGGCAAGGACCTGGATTGTATCGCATCTTAACGTGGCGCATTTGTTTGATTTAGCTTTTTGGCCATCTATCCGAAACCAAATTACTAACCTCGTGACGATAGGTGCACCACACAGAGGAGCTATTATGATCGATTATATTGGCAACTTGATGGATGTCATTGGAGGATCTTTGACTTATATCTTGCAGATGCGCCAGGTGGGGTTCTTTTATAGAAAATAGCCTACAAGATTCTGACATTTAAGCAAACTCATACATGAATGTTGATATCAGAACTCTAGATACATGAGTGCAGTTTTCAACAGAACTGCCGAAAATGGTGGACTGGAGGCTTTAGTTCCAACCACTTCACTTTTTACGTTTTTTGATCAGTTCGTCTTGCCTCAGGCATCGAACTCAAACGTGAGTTTCTATAGGTTAGATGTTTAGTGTTCCAAACTCTTGAGCAACCCCAATCAACACTTTAAAATATCATGCGACGCATCTAGGGTTCCTCTTATCTATCCGGAGCTTCAAACATTGCTATCCAAGAAGCATGTGGGAGAAATCGTATCATAGAGCACTTGTACGCCTTGTCTCCGTCTGCATTTGTTGACGAAGATGATAGGGGGTCCGACTAATGATCTATATCTTTTCTTGGAACTTTAAGTGGAATCATCCTGGATATGGCTACGTACGGATTGGTTTACGATGCTTTGAGCCATGGTCGACCAGCGAGTCTAGAAACCTTTGACCGTAAGTGAAATCGGTTGCCGAACCATTACAATCACCATTGCTTAATTCAGGCTGCTTGCACCACATTAATATCAGGGACTTACTGTGAAGGACATTGTAAGTATGACCATTTAAAACTATATGTCTGGTAGAACATTGCACAATTCCTTCTGACTCTTGTCATATCATCAGATAAAAACCTCTGGAAAGTTGCCATCCAGTTTCCGTTTCATGTCCAGTCGACGTGGCGAGGTTTTTTTGGGAGTACCATGGATCCTCTTACTAGGATAAAGAGACTTCTTACCTCTTCGGTAGGTCCGGATGATTATCAAAGGAGAAGAAGAACATCAGTAATTGACGCGATTTATTGACACTTGAATTTCAGAGCGTACCTACTGAACCACTGTTGATGGTAAATCTTCTTGTCTCTGTATCATTCCTCTTTATCACCAATAGTTTCTAACCACTTTTTACACGTTCAGCCTTATGTGTGTGAAAAAGGTCACGCGCCTCAAAGCCACTGCACAACTTTGGGTTTCTGTCAGGGTAGGTCTGTTTGACGGGTTACGGAAAGCGACAGGGACAAGATAAGCAACACCCATGGGGTAGGAAATGATCAAATCATTTTATCTTGATACTTTACTTTGAACAGATGGAGTTTTTCTGGCTATTTTGTAGGACCCCACAAAGTTTCTTCTTTACAATACGTACACATTTCAATGGATACATTTTTTATGGGAAGCTCTTGTGTATCGAAAGTTCTTTTTCTTTGTATGTAAAAATTCTGAGGACATGTCTCAATTCTAGATCAGCTTCCATGATCTACAACAAAGTAATCTACCATCGCATCAATATCAATCAATGTTTCAAAGTGACTTTGGCCCAAAAGACACATGAGAAATCGTCAATCAATTCTCAAGACCATGTAGACATCTCAAGGGAGCCACGGGTGCTGATATTCCAATTTGCTAGATGTGTGTACATAATCCTTTGACGTGCAACAAATCCATTTGCCAGACAGGTCTTCCGAATCCAGACAATGAAAAGGTTTCAAGCAGTTAAGGAGTCCCTCGCTTTGTTGAGTGCTACATACACAGCACGTCATGTCTTACCTAACAAGTTACACCCAAAAAGGCTATGAGGTGTTGCTGGTATTGCAACACAAGGAAAGAAATGCTACCTGATTTTTTGATCTTTGTCTGTTTGTCTCTTCATTTTTCTTACATACTAGGATCAAGTGATCAGTCCTTCCTGTTTCTTTCTCCTTCAAGTTTTTCTTTTATCAATTCAAGTTTGAATTTTCATTGACTCACTGTTTTCTGATCATAAGCTTACATATACATCTCTTGAATTTATTGATGTCAAATGAAAAGAAAATCTTTTGCAGATAAAAAAATACTAAAGAAAGTTTTGAAACTTGATAAATTTGGATTAGAAATATTAAAACATAAGTAAATTATAATTTGACTCTTTTTGGAATGTTTTTAGTGTATGAAGAGTTTTGAGTAGATTTTTTTTCGAGCTGACTTTTCCATTTGACTTGTACTTGGTTATAAATATTGATATTGATATTGGTTTCTCTTTGTTTTTTTATAATTCGATTCTCCAATTTGTCATAGGTACTGGAATTTTAACAAATGAAGTTCCAGTCTCCTGTAAAAAAAGGATTATCATCAATATCAACCATGAAACTATTAAAGAAATAATAAAGCAAAGCGAGAAAGGATTGAGAAAGGGAAGAAACAAACCTTAGTTGCAAGATAAACCACAATGACCACTAAGAAAGTAGAAAGTAAAACGATTGATAATACACCTCCTACTACAATAAAAATAAATTTAAAATCATCTGCTCCCATACTTTGTTGAGAATTTGTAGAAGAGTTAACAGAAGTGATCTTAGGTTGTTGTTTAATTCTAACATCTTGAATCGAACTTGCACCTGGTGCATCTCTAAATAGAGGTGGTGGTGATGCTGCTATTATGTAACTTGGATATCGATTCTCCGCCCATGCTTTTACCTAGAAAAACCAAACGGAGATGAGAAAAGTCAAAGGTTGGAAGATAATTATAGAGGGTTGGTAGATTTGAGAGTGTAGACTTACTTGTGCTACGATTATACTGAGTTTTAGATAGTTAGGATCATCTGGACGTGCGCGACTATGGATCTTTTGAGTGAAGTCAACGAAAATGTAAGCCAAATCTCTTGGATTAACAGCTTTCATCATCAACTAAAGAAAAAGATCAAATCATAATCAGTATAAAAAATCAAATCTTTCCAAAAATAAGGGAAAAAAATAATCTTACATCTACTGTCATACTTCTTCTAATTTTCACATTTTTATGAAATACATCAAGATTATCAAAACATTTTTCAAGTGTTGCGATCGCCATGACTTGAGGAATTGCACAAAAATTGAAAATTGATTGGTTTTTAAGCATGGTCATATATTCTAATGCGTCAGTTGAATGACTTAAGGCATCTATTGTCATTTCAGTTAATGCCCAACGTGCTTTTTGTAAATTTTCAGGTTTAGTTAAATCTTTTGGATGTTCAACATATTTATTCCAAATCTCTTTAGGCCAAAACATTCTACCATCATCTACATCTTCACGAAAGTCTCTTAAAATGTTGGTCTTTTGTAGTAAGAGTCCCATTGAATTACTTAGGGTTAATTGATGTCCTATCATGGAATCTTCTTTATTCGATTGTGCAAATAATCTAGATAATCCTTCTCCTACTAATCCTGCTACGTAATGACAATATGAATCGAAAGATGTCATCGTATCTATTGAAAATATTCCTTGGTTTTCGTATGCCATACGTGAGAATTGTGACATTCCCGAACCCATTCTTGCTGTAACTTCTGAGATCACATTTCGATAACTTTTGATAAAAAATTCGCAAGTTAGTTTTTGATTGTTAGGGGAACTGATCGGTATGAAGTGTATAAAAATTGATTTGATTACTTACGAAGGATCTAAGAGTTGAAATTCTTCGATAACTGAATCAAAACCTAATAAAAGATGTCGATCTTTGGCATCCGGTCCACCTATAACAATTGAAAACATCAAAAACGAAGAAAAAACATAAGCGATTTCATTTTGGGTACTTGATTTGGTTTTTGAGGAATTGAAATTATACTCAACATCCATCGAATCTCCATCCTGGTTCTTCTAACTTTTGATAAAAGGTTTTTAATATCTTTTCTTTTAATTTAATTTCGATTGTCATATCATCTTCAATCGTATCCATTCCTCTTAAAATTAAATAAAATATACAAATCTAAAATCAACAACAAAATAGGTTAAAAGATTAGCTTTCAATGGTCAATCGATCTTCGTTTGTTTTTCTCTGATTCGACTTAACTACTCTCGATAATTCTCCTTCTAATTGTTTGATGACTGCACTAAAACTTCTACTGGTTTGATCTAGAAATGTCCAACATTCTTTCATTGATTTATAATGAATTCGAGAAGCTCTATTCGGAAGAACAAAAAAGTGAATTTATGTTAAGTTTGGATTCTTGTATTAGATATTTTTAAGACTTTTCTAAAAAAAAGTCAATTGACTTACTCTGGATCATCTTCTATACTTCTTGGCTCGTGCCAGATTTTGTAATTCACTACGGCCTAAAAACAAAAAATAATCGTGGGTTTTGTAACAAATCGTTCATTTGATAGATATTAGTTTTGATTTCTTTTTGATTTCGATTTTTCTCGTTTTGATTTTGATTGACCTTTAGTTCTTTAGGATGAGTGACTGCTAGCCATGCAAATTCTCCAATGGTTCTGATTGATGGCATGATTTGAATTTCGTTCGTTTGACTTTTTCGATGGAGTGGTACTGGTAGTGGTGGATTGTTGGTGTGAATTTGGTTTAAAGTGATTTTATTTTTTAACCCCAGCGATTGAATTTGCAAACTGTATCAGCAGAATGTGACACAACTGATCAGATCCCACTAAACTTGTAATCACCCTTTAATCACCAGCTTTCTTCAACTTACATACTTATATATCACCAGAGATATGCAAAGCTAATCCATTCAGATAGCTGACCGTTGTGTACCCTACATATTTCAACTCCTGAACTTTTGTAGACATTCATAGCCAACAAAGATCATACGGTTCCGGTGGACCAAATGTCCAGACCCAGTCATCATCAAAGTAAAAATTCATCTGCAGCTCTCAAACAATGCGAAAAAATTGGGATGATGAGAGGTTCAAGCAGCTTTGAATATACCACCTCAACATCATGTAACCCACCTTCTGGGTTTTCTGTCAGCGTTCACTTACACCTTCCGATAGCCAAACTTACCCTCCGCAAGCTTCGTAGGACGCGCGCGGTTGGAGGAGGGACTTGGTTAAGAACTTACTAAGCCCGGAGCCGTCTGACAGAAGTAATCCAGCTACATACATAAAGTTTCCCAACACATTAAATTCTGGCCCACCTGCTGGAAGTGTTCTTCCAACCATGAAGCAGCTGGTATCCTCAACATTAATGATTCCTAATCACTCTTCATCCGATAATGACTATCCCGGAATTTTTACCAGGACCTTGAATCTGACGCCCTAGTAATGTAGCTTATATACCCATATAGAGAAGACTCAGTGCCCAACACTCAGGTTGAAGAGCTTGAACTTCATTACATAATACAAAAATGTGGCAATCATATAAGATGACGACATGGGGGAAATGCGTGTTGCAGAACAAAAGATATATTCCTTATTGCGCACCTATCTACTAGAACTGAAGTTTCTCCATTGACTCGGTAATCAATATAATTGTAAGGGTTCTACATATATCTCGTAAAGCAGAGTAGGATCTAATTTGCTGTCCTAACAATTGATGTTGAGGTGTTCACCATCATGGTACAGACTGTTGATCCAATAAATAGCTTGTTGGCACCACTTGGATAACGGAACTGATGTCACGTGAAAATTTGCAGGGCCGCCACGCGCATTGGTACCAATATCTCGCGCTGCATAGCATACCATTGCATCTGTTTGATGTTTCCTATCTATTTACACTTTCTAGGGGCCATTACATCATTTTTGGGCGCAATAAGTGTAATCAATTACATTTCTATCTTGTTTCAATGTTTTTCCGCCAAACACATTGAAATGGATTAAATTTCTTGAGACATTGCGAAAGCAATACAAAGAAATGCATGCAACAGGTACTTGACCCAAAATACGTCAAAAACTTGAAGTATTTTTGCTGGGTTTTGGTGCGCGCGTGCGTTAGTAGAACAGTCGGAGAAGGTTCATCTAGGAGGCTTGTCATTAGTTGTTGCCAAGAAAAATTAGGTGTATCAAATTTGGTAACATAAAAAACAAGAAAAGATAGTAGTGTGAATCATGTAAACATAAATGTAAATGTTGTTGAGAGTGATGTCCAGCGAAGGTTGATAGAATGAAAGGGGGGGTTATGTATACAAAACATTTGCGGTTATTAACTTCACAGCGCATTTGATAAAGGAAATGTTTGACCAATCTAAATCCAAATATGAGCACCAAATGTGTTTCTCTATCCACTTCGTTTATCATATCATATGAAGTTAAGGCCTACCTACCAGACCTCAAAGAATACCTATATCGATGGCTTGTATAGCTTTCAACGAATTCAAAGTGTGAAGCGGAAGTTTGGATCCCTGTCCCCAATTGGTGCACGAGTCTCCCCCGCTCGGAATTTCTCGAGATACTTTTCTACCAGATGATCTCTTTGACCACTAGATTTTTTCCAGTTCTCGAATCGACAATACAACACATTAGTTGCTGTAAGGCACCATGTAGCACAGATTAATCCAAGGGAGATCGTGTGTCCTTTTACAACAGGTTCACCCTTGATGTATATAAAAGGTCCTGTTAATATTGAAATCGCCTGAATCTGAGGGGAAGAACAAAGAATCAGTGGATCATACGAATGTATTGACTTGAGAATGCAGAAAAACCAACCATTCCTTGGATTCCGATACATGTTGCTCGTTTAGTGCCACCAGAAGTGTTGATTGGGGTAATGCACACAAGACATGGTACAGCTGGAAATAAACCCGCTAGGATTAGGTAAAATGCTGCGTAGCGTATCTCGGTGCGTTCTGCAAATATTAATATCAAGTCTTTGGAATCCGATCGCGAAGAAGCAGGGAGATAGATATTCAAGGTAGATAAGTTTTTTTATCATTGTAAATAGAAATGAAACTTCTTACATCCAATGATAGCTATAGGCACGCAAACAAGCACGATAGGTCCACGTAACCTCCATCTATCTGCCAATAAAGCACCTACTACTACCGTCACTAAGGCGGGAATGTAGGGTAAAGCGGAGAAAAGCTGTGCTCGGGCGCCAGTATATCCCATCCCGCTGACCACTGTTAGTTCGCGTGAAGGACAAATGAGTCACTCAGTTCTCAAGCTCTATATGGATGTACAATCAAAGAGAGAACAATCTAGCTTACATGTCGGTCTAAAGTAGGACAGTTCAAAGATGTGATCAGATCAACGACTGGTATTGACACGGAAATGTTGCAAGACTTACAAGAAGATAGCTAGTGCTGCAAGTGGAATGGAGAGAGACGCTTCACTGAGACCTACCAGCCAAACTTGTGGCTCCGCAAAGGCCCTTCTAACTTCTGACCACTCGAACACTTCCGTATCAGAAATTTGTCCTTTAGTTTCATACGAGGTTTCTACTTCAACTATCTCGACCTCTTCGGTTTTCTTTTCTGTTGATTTAAAGTCTTCGGAAATTTGTAGTCTCTTAACTAGATCGCAGCGAGGGGGAAGAGGTAGTGAAAGAATAGCCGTGAGATTAAGATGAAGAGTAGTGTCATTACGCTTGGATTTTTACTTGGAAGCTGAAACAAACCTGCAAACCTGCGCTCATTCGCGTTGAGATAAGGAGCCGTCTCAACACTTGAGGATAAGAAAAACCAGACAAAAGCGGCAACACAGAGTGTCAAGATACCCTCTTTGGTGCAAAATATTGTAGAAAAACCTTAGTCAGGCCTCGTAAATGAATCTTTGGGGCAAAAAAGATTGTACCAATGATAAATATCCAGCTGATGTGAGCGCGAAGTGTAAGTATGAATCAGCTAATCTTAAAAAAATATTTCACATTGATTCAAGTACTTACCACCAAGCAGACTTCCCAGCAAAACCATCCATTCCATGTTGGATGCCGAACGCTAAGAATCCACCCACAATGTGACTCAATGCAGTGCTGCAATAAGATAGTCCGAATCGGAGCTGTAGCTCGTCAGTTTTGTAAATTGTTGAAAGATATAATATCTGTATTGGGGACAAGACCATATATTGAAAGTCAGACGATGTGGTATAGCTTTAGACATTTCTTTGGAATTTAAGACGCACCACTCCGGGTTGCAATCCACCCTCAAAAACCGCTATCATTGGTCCATAGGGCGTGGTAGATCAGTTAGAGGATCGATACAAGTCGGAACACAGACTGTGTAGAAGGCATACATACCCAACATCATTCTCACAGCAACCAAAGAGGCGAAATTCGTCATGAACGCCGAAAAGATTGTGACCGTCCCTTTGAATCGAGATCAAGAGGTGAAGAAAAAAATTGCTCAGGCTTCAGCCGACAATTTATAGGATCCTCTTCAGTGACACGGAGTGTAGGGAATGGTAGGTATGCTGAGTGATAAGATCACCAACCCCAACAGAAAACCAAGAATGGCAACCAGATCTATTGAGATACATACATCAATCAGTCCACGAAAGCTTAGAGCTTCTCGAGCTGGAGAAAGAAGTAATTACCTTAGCCCCCACTCTGCGCAGTATAAGATTTGAAGGAATTTTGACCAACACATAACTGATTGTGCTGTTTTATCAAGTTGGGTATCAGAAACGAAGACTCATTATGATCAATAATGTTCATACACCTTTGAGGTACGAAAAAGAAAGCTTACAATGCGCTCAGAGCGATGTTGAATTGGATTCCTTTCAGGTGAAGATCTCTTTCCAAGCCAGCAACCTAGATTGCCGAGATTATCGATATCTCCATTTCCGAGCTTACGCAATGATTGTATAGCAAGTAAGATTGCACTCACTTTGGCATTCCCAATGTTTGATCTATCAACTTACAGATCCGAGTTCGGTCACAAGGGGTTGATGCAGAGTAAAACATAGCTTGTTAGAAATCTGGTCTTATGGCCCAAGCATCCGGACTGTTATGTTGGGCTTACTGAAGTTTGCGAGGTATAATAACATAACACAAGGAACCGTGTGCAGGTCGAGTTTTCTCACCACCTTTCGACGATAATCCTCGTGCATTAAATTACGCTAGGATAATTTTTCAAAATTAGCAAAGTCCAGAAAACCTTACATGCACACAACACTGTTCAAAAAGATCAGCAAAGACGAACCGGGTCATAAATTGGGTAGTGAGTTGACATCTTTGAGGTTGGCTGATTAGAAGACGGGAATGTAAGGGATATGTATTGATGAATAAGATTAAGCAAACTGATGATTATTCACAGCGAAAAGTAAGCATGCAAAAGACTTCTGACTAGTTCGTTTTTCTCGGTTTGGAAAAAGTTTTGTCTCAACGCTGGAGCGAAGGATTCCGACGATGAATGTTGGGCTCATATGTATAGTACATACTACCATTGAGAAGAAGATGAGTATCGCTGTATATTTGCTTCCCATTTGAACAGAAGCCGTACTTGTTTTTCACTCGATTTGATTCTGAACAGGTTTTCATGGACGCTTTTAAGTGATAAGGTGTGGAAACAAGTCAAGTCTAGATGTGTCAGATGAAGTCGAGACTCTAAGGGTCCAGCTAAAAAATGACCCAAGGGTGGTTCGAATGATATCCAAATGATAAATCCATCCCCGCCCTTTCGCAATGTGCTTGATGAGCATTGGGCAGCTGCAATGAGAGCCAAGTAAACATACATACCCTTCAGCTCACGGAACTTGTGTGTTCCAAGGGCTTCGAAATATCCTTGGAGACGTTGATCGTACACGTGGGTGTGCCAGAAAGAGGTGAACCACTTGGGCCGAAGGAATAGCCGGATGTATGTATCATGACATTCAGTTTGGAGTCGGTGAATAAGGCTTTTGGCGCGTGAACAAGCTTAACTCAGCCCCTCTTGCGCGTTCGCCGTGCCCTCGCAAGCAGCGTGATGGATATACCGAATCGTAACACTCGGAATCATACAAAGGTTAGAAGTTGAGGCGAGAGTTTCATTCGAAAAGTGGAGCTTTTTCAAGATTTCTGGGATCGACAGTATTTATCATGTTCAGTTCACACGCAGGGAGTCGTTTGACCGAACAAGTCAACCAGCTTATATGCATAAATCTCTGTAGCGTCTCACTCCCTAGTACAAGAGTCTCACCTCGGCGATTCCGCCCTGCCTGAAGAGAGTGTCCTCAGCTTGATGATTTCAAACCTTCTTGGGAGATTGAAGTCACTTCCCTGCACGCTAGCGCCTCCAATTCCAGGGCCCAGGCTACCCACGAAGAAGAGGCATGTAATTATAAGCTACTTTGGGTCTCCTCAAAGCTGTCGAGCTCCTGGACCATTCATACACTCATACCAAGAACTAGCTTAACAACAAGCCCACTGTGCCAGGTGATTTTTCTCGGACTCGTCCGCCCCTGGCACAGGGGGCTTGCACATTAAACGACAATCGTTGCGTGACTAATAGCCACCTTTTGGTGGGTGTTTTTTCACTTCGCTTTTACACCACGACCCACAAATGCATTTTCTTCAAAAAAACAGTCAGATGAGCTCTGTCGAGTTATGAAGGAAATGGCCTCTTCAGAATCTCGACAGAGCTCATGATCGTGTTGATTCATTGAGGCTGCTTATTTTGAGATTTGAAATTTCAACCGTCAAGATTGTTATGTGTACCCTTAAAAAGGCTCGAGAGATGGTCAATTGACTCCCTTAAACAAACTTATTACTCGTTTTCCAGCTCAATTCTTGTGAGCTGGCACTTTTGATTCTCTTGTTTTTCTAATAGAAGTTATGTACAAGATGCTGAACTCATACCAGCCAGTTTCAGAAACAACATCAAAGTAATGTTGAATGAGATAGGATGGGTTGCATCCAAAAGTGACCCAAATTTCACTTTTTGGGGCTATTGGTCACGCCAGAGATGTCGTTTAATGTGCAAGTCCCTCGTGCCTCGGCTTCGGGTTACCGTGAGCTTTTGCACGATTGGACTTGGGTTAAGTTAGTACCAAGAATCTACCCCAATTAAACACAGCTCTAACAGTGCCTTGTCCCAGACACTTCCATCGGCCTAACAGAACATTTGCCACTTTGTGAGTGCAACACTTTTGTGCCCATGGTGTCAATTTTCTTTCTTGTGCTGCTTCTGTGTCTGGGCCTCATACAGTCAGAAGTATCAGACCCAAAGGTCTGATTGATTACTGGTAAATAATTGACGATATTGGAGTGTTCTGCCAGTGCAACTTTGCAAAGATACAACATTTGCCCATTGATTGGTAACACCCTGAGGAGTTGAATGATTGGCCATATAATTTTCACAAGTAGTGAGTATTGACTGTGCATATTTATGATCCAAAAATTGGGATTCATTGTGGACTTCCTGTTTTCACTAGAAAACGCAGACCTGAAAGCTAGGTGCATTCATCTCATCTCATTTGCACAGCTATGCTGTGGATACTGGCCAAAATGTGAAGTGAGATTGGAAATCACGGCCTCATTTGAACAGTGACACCTCTGCCACTACTACTGGCTGCTTTGTTTTTTACTATGTCTGTTTCTTTCAACAGATGGACAGATATTTGCACCAAGTCTAGTAACCTCCACTATCTGCAGATGTCTTGGGACCAAAGTGGTGAACACGGTAGGTCTGTTCTGTCTACTACTTTAGCCACGATTTTCGTCACACAAACAAATTGAACTTGGATCGTCTATGTTTCCTTATCTCTTTGAATACAATGATGGTTACATGGAGACCATAGATGTATTGAAAGTGCTGTAGTACAAATGCACCATCATGAATGTATGGAAAGAACAGAGACATACACAAGTTTATGAAATTAACCCAAAACCCCAAAACACATGAGCAACCTATTTTACAAATGATAACAAAACCATGAGCAACCTATTTTACAAATGATACACTATAATACTGTATATGAACGTAGGGTCACGTAAAAAAATTCTCCACCACTGAGGTTAAAGCTGCCTGGGTGGAATCCAAATGTGTTTTAGAATCAACTCTTTCTCTTTTTTTCCATCCACATGTCCTCTAACACCAAATCGGATCCAAACGCTACTTACCGCGATCGAGTACCTGATCTCGCGTAGCCCTCCAGCAATCATCAACTACCGATCCTTACGAGTTGGAGATACGCCCCTGTCTTTGTAAGAACCCAAAGATGTTTAAAGCGTGTAGCGAAAGTTTGGATCCCTGTCTCCGATCGGCGCGCGCGTGTCTCCTGCGCGGAATTTTTCAAGATACTGCTGGACCAGATAATCTCGTCTTCCGCTAGCTTTTCTCGAGTTTTCGAACCGACAATACAACACATTGGCCGCAGTGAGAACCCACGTGCAACATATGAGCCCAAGTGCGATCGTGTGGCCTTTTGCTGGGGGTTCACCTTTTATGTATAGGAACGGCGCTATCAAAATCGATAGTCCCTGGATCTAGAGAAATTCCTCGCATGATTGGTGTGGATCACGAGGATAATTAGTGGATCACGAGGATGACATTGACGCGTAGAGGGTACAAGACTGACCATTCCCTGGATTCCGATACATGTCGCTCGTTTAGTGACACCAGAAGTATTGATGGGAATGATGCAGACAAGACAGGGTACAACTGGGAATAATCCCGCCACGACTAAGAAAAATGCGGCGTAGCGAGTCTCGGCGCTTTTTGAAAGTATCAACATTAAGTCTTCAAAATCCGACCAAATAGAAAAAACAGATTAGTTTTGAGATACATATTATTCTCTCAGCGTGGTGGAAAAAGATGTGCTTACATCCAGCGATACCTACAGGAACACACACGAGAACGATGGGCCCCCGGGTTTTCCATCTGTCAGCCAGTAAGGCTCCTGCTACTACTGTCACCAACGCGGGAATGTAGGGTAATGCAGAGAAAAGCTGCGCCCAAGCTCCAGTATGTCCCATACCGCTTACCACTGGTAGTATATGTTAGAGATACGTGTGTCTGTCAGCTCAAGCGCACACTGAGCGAAAAGTTTAAGCGCGAAAAGAAAACTTACACGTGGGTCTAAGGGCAGATAACGCAGAGACGTTAGTCCAGTCAACAGCCAGCTTACAAAATTGAAAAGGGCATTCAGTAGGATGTTCGGATAGACTCACAAGAAGATCGATAATGCCGCCAACGGAATGGATATAGACGCCTCACTAAGACCAACAAGCCAAACCTGTGGGTCCGCAAAAGCTCTTTTAACCTCAGACCACTCAAATGCCTCGTGACCAGGGATTCCTCTTTCAGTCTCATAAGAAGCCTCTGTTTTGACAGTCTCATCTACAAAAATATTTCCTTTTGATTCAAGCTCGCGTGCGGCGCGGTCGACGTCTTGGTATCCTTGCAGCCTCTTGACTGAAAAGTGAACGCAATGAGGAGCGGTGAATATCGGAACAGTACCACGGAGATTTGCAATGATATTGCGCTTGTAGTGTTACTTCCAAGATCAAACTAACCTGCAAACTCGCGCTCTGTCGGAGTTAGATATGGAGCTGTTTCCATACTTGACGACAAGAAATACCAGACAAAGGCAGCAACAAAGAGGGTCAAGATGCCCTCTTTTGTATGCAGTGTCGTGCAGATGCCCTGTAAGCCATTGCCATTGAGTCATCAAGGAAAGTAAAAAATCGTACCGATGATGAAGATCCACCTATGGGTTAGTGCGACGTATCAGTTTCTGTGGAATGATATTGTGATATTAATTTTCCCAGGCTGAGTTACTTACGACCAGGCAGCCTTCCCAGCAAAACCATCCATTCCATGTTGGATTCCAAATGCTAGGAATCCACCAACAATGTGACTCAGAGCAGTGCTACAATAAGAGAGTCCGAATCGGAGCTGTAGCTCGTCAGGTTTGTAAATTGTTGAAAGATATAATATAACTCCAGGTTGAAGTCCACCCTCAAAGACCGCTAGAATTGGTCCATAGGGTGTGGTAGATCAGTTAGAGGATCAAGACGAGTCAGAAGACAGAATTTAGAAGGCTTACCCAACATCATTCTCACAGCAATCAAAGAGGCGAAGTTCGTCATGAAAGCCGAGAAGATTGTAATCGTACCTTTGAAATGAAATAAAATGTGCAAAAAGACATTTTTAGGCTCCACTCGATGATTCCCAGGTCCGTCTTCAGAGATCAGAGTGTATGGAATGGTCGGCATGCTGAGTGACAGGATCACCAACCCCAACAGAAAACCAAGAATGGCAACCAGATCTAATTTGACAAGCCAATCAGCATGCAAGCATTTAGGTTCTCGCATGTGGTGATGAGTCAATTACCTTAGCCCCGACTTTGCGCAAAATGTGATTTGATGGAATCTTGACGATAATGTAACTGATCGTACTGTTTTGTCAAGGTGAGAGTGAGGATGGAGGGCTCAAAATGATTTCCTATGACACAAGGCCTTTCGAAACAGAAAACAGGAAGCCTACAACAAGCTCAGAGCGATATTGAACTGGACACCTTCCAGGTGAAGGTCCCTTTCCAAGCCAGCAACCTAGATAACCAGAACTATCAGAATGTTGGGTGCCAGCCCAGGAACTACAGTATTGGGAATGTAAATAAAAGTTCACTCACTTTGGCGTTTCCAATGTTGGATCTGTCAACTTGAACATGCAACCGTAAGAAGGCGACGAGATATGCGAAAATCAGTCTTTGGATTCGGAATGGGGCCTTTCTCGCTTTTGCATTGAGCGGGGTCCAAAAGCCCGTTGAACTTACTAAAGTTTGCGAGATATAGCAACATGATACAAGGAATTGTGTGCAGGTCGATTTTTTGCACCACCTCCTGACGGAAAGTCTCGTGCATCAAATGACGCTGAATAATTTCCAAGAGTCAGCGGCTGTGTGACAAATAAATACCGCATACATTATAAAGAACACCCAGGAAACCACAAAAAAGGTAAAAGACGAACCGGGTCGTAAATCGGGTATTCACTTGGCATTGTGTGTGAGCTTGGGTATCAGGAGATTTGAATGTAGAGATGAATAGCTTTTCAGGTAAATCAGACACCTGTGTTGTGAGCCTGTGATGATTGGGCAAAGAAAAAAAAGTGAAAGCTTGTGACTAGCGTGAGCGTTTCGAGTTGGCGAATAATTTCTGTCGGCGCTCAAGTGGAGAATCCTAACGAGTGATATTGCATTCATATATACCATCATTGAGATGAAGCTGAGTATTATACTTGCCTAAATTCGAGCAGGTCTTCGTTGTCATTTCTGGTTGATAGGGTGGGGAAACAGGTCAAGTCCAGCGGTGTCGAATGAATCTCGTATCGCCAACTTCAAAGGGTCCGGCTAATTTGGTTGCTCTTTGAGAAGGTGGAGGAGCCTAAAAAACACATCATGTAAATGATCAAACGGTACCTCATATCATCTCCCAATCCGCACCCTTTTATACGTCGCTTCAATTCGCCATAGAGGAAAAAGCAGTGTGCTTCGGCAACTTGCGCGCTCTCAGGGCTTCAGAATATCCTTTCGGACGTTGCTCCATGACAAGTGGCAAAGTAGTACATAATCAGTCTTGAAAGTCGATAAAAGACCACAACTTCAAGGAAATTTTGATCGACGCCTTCGACTCTGAGGATCGACATGCTTAGTGTCGATGATGATGAGAGACAGAAATGGAAGAAAGTGCGCGGGACGGAAGTGAAAGTGTTCCAGAAACGATCATCTGGAATCCTGCCATGAATCTCACACTGTTGGTTTTGCACTTCTCAGTGATAAAAGCAAACCGCTTCGAAGCGCTTCAGGGCAGGACCCCTGATACTATGGCTTTGGTGGTGCTATCAGGCTGATAGCACCACCAAAGCCCCCTTACTGGAGCCAAGATGCAATTTTTAGAGACCTGGAGTCAAAAAGCCAATTTTTTGGTTTTTTTAAGGTCATTGTGCCCTTGGAGCCAAAACCACCTGTTTTTTATTCTAAATTTTATGTGTATTGTTTCTAAGGAGCAATTCCACGTAGTTGGACTTGCCACAGTCTCAGTCCAGCCCAAAACTGAAGAATCACCTAGACACACCATTGTTAAGCAATTTTATTCTCCGCAAAGTCACAAGAATATGTCCACCAGCCAAAGCAAACCCTTTGACCTGGATACAATACTCTCCAAATGTCCTTGCAACCTGTGTGGTATCTGTAAGATAACAAAGAAAGGAAATTTTTGTTTATTCAATTTGCCATTGTGGTCTCAAGAAGGATGGAGGTAAACTCAAAGGTACATGTAGTCAGAATACAGAGGTACACTGGGATCCAGGTGTGTATAATCCAGCAAATTTCACTTGAATTACAAAGAAAAGTCTGAATCCACCACAGTCAATCTGATATAAGCTCTTGGTACATATGTCATAGTATCAGAGCCATGCAAGGAAAAGACCAGATTTATGAGTTCACTCACCCCAATCAGCTCAATTTGTGTCAAGAAGCAAGCAACTTTTGAACCTTCTGCTCCACAAAAACCCGCCAAAAAGTAAAAATAAAAACCAGATTCTTTAATGTCTAGAGGCTACTTTCTAAATTCTTGTTTCTAAAAATGTTCCTTTTTCAACCTTTTTCTCCAATTTTTTTTGTCTCATCCAAGGCCTTTGAAACACCCATCTTTCAGATGTTTGTTGTCTCCCTGGAGCCCAATCAGGCAAAACTTGGTTCATTTTTCCAATGTGTATTGTCAAATTGGAGCCAAAATGGAATTTGGGCAAAAACCAGTGAATCTACTCGGAGCCAAAAGGGCCAAAAATTGGGTTTTAAATGGAACTTTATAGGGGCTATTGCTATCAGGGGTCCTTCCAGGACACAATTTCTGCATCTCCTTATTTCTTGGAATACATTTCCCATTTGTGAAAAAAACAAGTATGTGTTGTAGTACTTCCTAGTACTTCATCAACCATCATACTTCAATTTACTCAGATGACAATCTAGGAATCTTATAAGAAGGAACTGAGCAGCCATGGACCATGGCTCAGTCAAATTTGGAAAAACTTTTTTCCAGCAATTGTTGGGTTTTAATGAGCATGTTTGAGATTGTGCAATTTGTGGTTGTATGTGCTGCAGTTGCATTTATTGACTATGATGTATGTAGTCTAATTTTTTAAGTGCCTTTGAGTGCTTTTTGTAGAACCTCTGGATCCCTCTAACAATCTTATACTGGATCCGGGTTTCTCAAAGGGGTGAACCATCTCATGGTTCACCCAATGCACTTGTCTCCCTTTATATCCTCCTTATATACAATATTGGTATTTTATCAATATCCTTTTCCATCCAACTTGCTTCCTTATTTGTATGCCAATTCCGGCCTTGCCTTGTGTGCGTTATCTTGTAACTGAAAATGAGATTTCACTACAAAAGTCTTGCCTATTGAAGGCAGACCTTTCTCTGTTGCAATCCAATTTCCAGCTTGCTCTCTTTAATATTATTCACCAAACAGTGCCTGTTGCCTAATCGTTTCCCTTACAATACTTGACTCCCTATTCTTACATTATAAGCCTTTACTTGTATTAGACTCTTGGTACTTCTGAACCCTAGTAGATTCACATTTTGGCTAAAATCGCATATAACACAAACTGAACCCTACAAATGAAAGGACTGGTATACCTTGGAAGACTGGCTATCTAGTCAAAGCAAGATGTGTGATTAAATGTTGGAAACAAGATGAAACTTTCTTTTGTAGACTATAGTCTAAAATGGTTTTTGTGACCTTGCATTAAGGAAAAGGTAGTGGGGATATCATCAAAGAATCTCAGAAGGAAAGTTGTGACTATCCTTGAGGTTCAAGTTTCAACCTAGTGAGAAAGGTCTTGGAGGCCTATGGACCAAATCATCATTAAGCCCTTCAACCCCTGTGGCAAGATTGTATGATTCATAGGTGTTAGAGAACAGTCATAAGAAATGCCTTGTATACCATATGAGTCAACAAACTCTGAAGGGATTGAGCATTAATATAAAAGTTGTGCAAATATTGTTGAAGTTTGTCTCAAAGGTCTATTAGCCCAATTATTATGGAGCCCTTCATACCCTTAGGTGATTGAGCAAATTCTGGGATAGATGGAGAGAAGCTTTGTCTTGAAGTTATATTGGCCCAAATGCCACTCACCAACAGTGTTGTTTCAGCACTAGTACCAGCAAAGATACCTCAGATTTTCAATCTGAGGTCTCCTCAAATATAGATCCCCTTGGACTGTGTGTCTGAGGAATTCATCCAGGGCTTTCTTTGGCCCCAAAGATTGCCTGGATCATTTACTTGGACATTATGTCCAAGACGAGTGCCATCCAAGAATACCTCATATTTTACAATCTGGCATCTTTGTTGGGGGTGCAGTGTGAAGTAAATGAAGTTGATTGACTTTCCTCAAAAATCTTGAACATAACATCCTCTCAACTTTTGATCTACGAGATGATACCTACATACATATGATGAAGAATGGCTCTAAGATGAGAATCACAGGATTTAACCTCTCTATGCATACCCTTGTCTCACTTTCGGACTGATTTAGTTTGTTCATTTACTCCATTTATTCCTTCTCCTGGAGACTGAGTTGATATGTGTCCATAGATCTGATACCAGGTAGTGCATCTCAGGAGACATGACTCTACCTTTCACATTTAGGTTGCTGTAGTCATAAATTCAGTGAGCACAAAATATTGGACATAGTTCATAGTCATCCAAGTGTCCCAAGAGACAATTCAAAAACAGTATAAGAACATCAAAACTATTATGCAGATGTGATACCTTCTACCATAGGGAGGGATAAATACTTGATGTGTAATTGAGAGCTGTGTAAGAGTTCTCTTGTAGGTTGGATATCATTAGCATACACTCCAAGTATTTTGGAAGAACTGGATTGTCTTGCTGGACCACAAAACCTGAAGAATCACACTTCTTGGATATTCTGCAAGAGAATGGAAGCTATGAACTTCAGGGAAACAAAGAGCCATATCAAAAAATGGTTTTTGATTTTAGGACTCTGATACCATGCATCCTGTCAAGGTATGTAAACAGTCAACATTGTGGTTATGATATGTGTGAGGGTAGAGGGCTCAATTGAGGACTCTTTGCTCACTAAATGGGTAATGTAGGGTGGTATTATTTTAATTTATAATGTTTATATTTCAAATAGAATGTAATTACAATTAAAATAAGTCTAGAATAAAAAGAGGAAAGAGGAAAGACTAGTCTGTTTGGATAAATCCCGACAGACTACAGTTAAGTGACTCCTGAAAAGGAGGTTTATAATTATAATAAATAAATGTTATAATTAATGAAGGATGGATCCAAAAGTCCTTCCTTTAATCCTTTTAAGTCACAGATTAAAGAGTGAGATAAAGGTCACTACACTGGTTGTTCTTAAAGTCACCAACTTATGGTTGTTCTTAAGGTCACCAGCCTGAAAGTAATTATATGTAGGTCACTAGCCTTGGGTTGTTGGAAGGTCACCAACCTAAAAGAGTTCCTACTTGGGGGAAGTAGAGGATCCAGAAAGGGTGAATGTATCACTTACTTTTAATCAAGGAACTGATTAAAGTAGTGAAGATATCACTAGTCTTATATTTATAAGACTCTTGATGTTTACTTCAGTAGAACTTTAATTGTTCTTAAAAGTAGAGTGTAATAAATGCTTGGGGAAGAATCTCTGAAGGCTGAGAGAGGAGGAGTTTATATACTCTCTTCTCCAAACCTAACTGTAGTGATATTTGTTTGCATCACTACAGTGGTTTAGGGTTCAATTATTATTGTTAATTATGATTATTATCAATACTACCTAATTACATATACATGTTATGTAATTTATGTAGTATAAGCATTTTAACTCTTGACACTGAGTTATGAGGTGTAATTAGTGTTTTATTACATATTACATATGATTTCAAATGTATATATATGTAATTAGGATGTACATATGGTTTATTACAAGCTACATATGTTTTGTAAGGTTTATGTATATGTAATTAGCTGTCTAAAGGTGGTTATCTATGTTACAAGTTAGTATTTGGGTACATACATATGTACCCAAGGCTGACAATATGACATACAACTAGGGCTGCAGCCCGGACATGGCCCTGCCCGGCTGACCCTGCCCGGCAACCTCTGGAGAGCTCACTGTCCGCGCCCCGGGGCCACAAAACACCACATGTTGATGCTCACAAATGCGCCCTGAGGCCAATTGGGCGGGTTGGGCACCGGGGCTGCCAACTCTTACTCCTCAAAAAACTCACACCGTGAGTCATACTTCCAAAGTTCACACATGATGGATGATTCAACAGCTCATCCTGGCCTCTTGCTTGAGGCACAAGGTGCAAGACATGTCCATGTAAAGAGTAACTCGTAAGTTTAGTGAGACTAAAGGAGAAGTTGATTTGAGATGATCCCCAATTGGGAGGTTCTGGTAGGTAATTTGTACCCAAAGCGGAATAAGAGGACCGTGCTCAATCCCTCATTTCAATGAGGGAAGTCTACATACCTAGAGAAGAAGTTTTCCTCCCTCTTTTGCTCCTTACCTTCCCTACCGTACTGACTACCTCTTCACCTTATCATCTTCACTACACCTTACTCCATTTCTGATCAGTTTTTAAATCATAATTTATAACTTGTTCCATTACTGCTAACATAATTTTGTCCACCCACCCACCCAGATTTATTTGGAAACAGGAATTTATTGTAAGGTAAGCAGAAGGCTCTGTACAAAAATATCTCACAACCAGGGGAGAGTTCTCTGGAAGAGAGATCTCCTTGGGTAAGCCTTTTGTGAACCTCCCTAAGTTAAGGAGAGTTCACTAGAGAACTATCCATACAGGCGGAGCCTAACTCCCGATATAAGAATCTTTCCCTCACCTAGAAATAGTCTAGGCAAGGGAAAGACAGTGTCTTTATGTAATGAATAAATTTGATGTTAAAGATTGAAATGGACATGTTGTACAACACATGGTTTTTGTGCCTAAAACCTAAGCCTGGCTATGAGGCCTCAATTTCAGGGCACGCCCTGCCTTTCCCTGAACAATTTTGAAAGACCCTTGGGTTTCTTCGCAGCCGGCCCTGAACTTTCAGAGCTGGGTTGCAGCTCTACATACAACCCAGAATCTGTTCATCAGATAAAGTCTGATGTAGTCATAAGATTTTTTGGTGGTTTGAAGGTCATGTTTCAGGATGTTTAAACAGGGCCTTCTTGCGGGAAGCTACTTTCCGGTGGATGGAGGATCCCATTTAAAGAATTGTGGTTGGGACTTGTTTTAACCAAGGGGAATAGGTAGTGGCTTAGGGAGATGTGAAATCAAAACAAAGAGTTGTATTTTGATTCTTACTCATCTTCAAAGATTCATGTGTCAAATGGTAAAGAGATTTGTAACGGTTTTCAAACGTTTTTGTCAAATCTTGTTATCTCTTCTCTGAAGCTTTTCTAGATCCGTTTGTCCCACTTCATTGTTTTCTTCTTTACCGATTTGAATTCATCCATAGTTTTATCAACAAAAATTGTAGTGATCTCTTTGTTTTTTATCACAAATTTTTGTTTTCTGCCCTCCCTCCTGTTTTCAATTTGGTTACTTTTCTCTTATTGTAGTTTATAGGCCGCCCTCAGGGCCTCAAGTTGTGGCTTATTTTTCACTGCAATTTGCTCAGACCCCTCGGGGCCGTCCAGCTTTTAGCATCTTTAAAATTCAAAATACAAAACTCCTAGTTTCGAAAACAGATCTTCTGTGCCTAGCCTCTTCCCTGGAAATGGCACTTTTTGCCCCCTACAATTAATTTTATAATAACTTATGACCTAAAAACTGATTAAAAAGTAACAGTATGATGTGTAAAATTTTCTTTGAAGAGATACTGAAGCTCAAATTAAATTCTACCATATCCATATCCCTGGGTTTAAATCTAATTGTGATCTGGGACACAGGCACTGCTTTCAGTTTCAGCCCCTACCAATATGGAATTGTTTGGAAAGAATCACATTTGTTGAGAACAGTTATAAGTGAAAGAAAGGAACAAAGTCAGAAAAGAACAAGAGATGAAGCCTCAAGAAACTATACAGTGACCCCATGTGGTAGTTTGGGTTGTAGTGGCGGGAGCACACTTTGCCACTGCATAATTCCTCCAAATGTATTGGGATGCGTTTAGGTTTTTCCAACACAATGAGATTTTCCAGCCAATGTAAGCATTGTAAATGAATATTCCTCATAATGTATAGAAAACCCTTCCAACAAACTGTATGTTGTCAGAGATAGTTTACTGTATATATTTGTGCAATTGGATTTGAACCAAAAATCACTTAATCACAAGAATCATCTGACTGTTAGCCATATCATTCACATACCATTGGCAGAATGATCCATCAAGAATTCCAGTAAGGTAGCTTTTGTAAAGTCTTAGATGTTGATGTATAGTCCATGTGCCTGATAATACTCCATGACATCAACATTGTCACCATTATGATAAGGGTATTCTATCAAAAGTACCCAGGATTTTAACTGCCTGGTGATGCCACAAAAGTTGAAGTCAGGTATGGGAATCAAGACACCTTGGGTGGAAGAATGACAGTCCTGTTTCTTCATAATAGGTGCAGTGTATTTATTCAAGTGATTTTATTCAAACTGTATAAACTATGATGACCTTGAAATGACATGGTTCATATTCTGCACATACCCCAACAACCCCAAGTTGAGTGAAAATTGTGGCTCCAAAAGATACACTTCAAGTTATACATAAACTTATCTGACTGTTTTGCATCCAGTTGTGTTGGTGCATCAAATATTCTCCCTTGTTCATTCGCGCTTCCCTAATACCTCATATAAAACCCCAGCTTTACTGTTACACCGAGTATCCGATATTGAGTGACCAGACATCAAAACTACCCCATCGCGGTGTATTTGAGACCTGTCCCTAGCTTTGACACAATTTGACGCCGTTCAAAGTGTGAAGCGGAATTTTGGATGGCGATCCCCAATTGGTGCACGAGTCTCCCCTGCGCGAAATTTCTCGCGATACTGCTCCAATAGATGATCTCTTCGACCGCTAGATTTTCTTGAGTTTTCAAATTGGCAGTATAACACATTAGCTGCAGTAAAAAGCCACGTGGTACAGATAAGGGCAAGCGAGATTTTGTGTCCTTTCTCTACAGGATCACCCTTTATGTAGATGAACGGGCCTATCAATAATGCCATGCCCTGGATCTAGGGGGAGCATTCACGTTTTTAGTTGCTCACGAGTATCACATAGTTCAGAGCTATAAAGACTGACCATTCCTTGAATCCCAACACATGTGGCCCGTTTAGTGGCACCAGAAGTATTGATTGGAATGATGCACGCAATGCAGGGTATAACTGGAAACAGTCCTGAAAAAATAAGAAAAAATGCTGCGTAACGTGTTGTAGTGCCGTTTGAGAATATCAACAGCGAGTCTTTGAAATCCGACGAGATAGAAGAATAAAGATCTTTTTGAGAAAATCGGAAGCGCTCATTCTTCACTGTAGCAGAAAACTGGTGCTTACATCCAATGATGCCTACAGGCACGCACGCGAGAACAATGGGTCCACGGATTCCCCATCTATCTGCGAGTAAAGCAGACCCTAGCATTGTAAGTAATGCCGGAATGTAGGGCAATGTAGAGAAGAGCTGCGCCCAGGCCCCAGTATATCCCATCCCGCTTACCACTATCAGTGCGTGTGGGGAATAATATGAGTCCAACAGTCCGAATGCTTGCATTGGACGCCAAGAAAAAATGGAACAATGTGACGCACACGTCGGTCTGAGGTAGAAGGGTGCAGAGATATATTGCAGTCGATGAGAAGCTTGTAACAAACATTCACGCGGGCAATATCAGGTAAGACTTACAAGAAGAAGGATAACCCAGCCAACGGAATGGAGAAAGATATGTCACTAAGACCAATTAGCCAAACTTGCGGGTCAGAAAAAGCCCTTCGGACTTCGATCCACTCGAATGCCTCGGGACCAGGGCTTCCTCCTTCAGTTTCATAAGAAGCCTCTGTTTCGACTGTTTGATCTTCGGACTTCTTTCCTGTTGATTTGAGCTTAACTCCTGTGTTATCGAGGTGGTCTTCGAATCTTCGAAGTCTCATGACTAGACAGTGAACCCAGTGTTAGGGCGAGAGATAGCGAGAGATCAGCTCAGATATTAAGATCCACAACAACAACATCACGCTGGAATACTTATCCTCAACTCCGAACGAACCTGCAAATTCGCGCTCCGTTGAGTTCAGATAAGGGGCCGTTTCCAGACTTGAGGATAGGAAAAACCAGACAACAGCGGCCACAAGAATAGTCAAGATACCCTCTTCCGCGTGTAATTTTCCAGGCGTTCTAGTCAGGCCACGTATGTGAATCGGTCAGAAAGAGATCAATCGCACCAATGATAAAAATCCAACTGTATTTTTCGTGAAGTCTCAGTTTTATTCTACTCTTATCAAAACATCAAAGTCTCGTGTCTCGAATACTCACCACCAGGCAGACTTCCCAGAAAACCCGTCCATCCTGCGATGAATTGCGAACGCTAAGAATCCACCCACAACGTGACTCAAAGCAGTGCTACAATAAGATAGCCCCACTCGGATCTGTAGCTCTTCAGGCCTGTAAAGTGTTGCTAGATATAATATAACTCCAGGTTGAAGTCCCCCTTCAAAAACTCCTAGAAATGGTCCATTATAGGACATGGTAGATCATTTAGAGGGTACCACGAGCCGGCAGACGGGAGTCCAAAGGCGTACCCAAGAGCATCCTCACAGCAACTAAAGACGCGTTGTTAGTCATAAAAGCCGAAAAGACTGTGACCAAACCTTTGGATCGGATTGTAAACGCGCAGCATAATCATGCTCAGACGTTAGTCGTCGATGTACTGGGTTCTCTTGAGCAAGACGGACTGTCTGGAGACTGGTATGTCAGACATGCTGAGTAACAAGATCACTAACCCCAACAAAAAACCAAAAATGGCAACCAGGTCTGTGATGTTGAGTCAATCAGTCTGTGGAAGCCCCCAAGTTCTTGCGCTCGATGATCAAGCACTTACCTTCGCCCCCACCTTGCGCAAAATGTGATTTGATGGGATTTTCACCATCACATAGCTGACGGTGCTGTTTTTCAAGAAAGAGTCAGAGTGGAGGCCTAACTAGGAATCGGATGCTCAAGGTTTCCAGGCCTTTCGAAACCGAAAAATGGAAGCCTACAATGCGCTAAGGGCGATATTGAACTGAACACCTTTGAGGTGAAGATCCCTTTCTAAGCCGGCAACCTCAAATTCCAGATGTCACAATCAATGTATTTCTTTCGCTGAGAACAGAAATCAAAGTTTCCTCGCATCGTAAGTATGAGAGCACTGACTTTGGCATTTCCAATGTTGGATCTGTCAACTTGAAGAATCCATCGTACGGAGCCAGTCAAAGAGTGGTTATGCAGACAACAATACCAAGATTGAAGTTTGAGAGATTCCTTTCTGCTCTCTGAAGAGTGAAATCTGCCAAGTTGGCTTACCGAAGCATGCGAGGTACAAGGACACAACACAAGGAATCGTGTACAGATCAATTTTCCTCACCACCTTTCGACGGAAAGCCTCGTGTGATGAGTTGCGCTAGGTCAATTGTCCAGAGTCAGTAGCCATAAATGAAGAAATATTGCACCCGTATAACATCCTTCATTGAATGACACAAAAAGACAACCACGAACCGAGTCGTAGAGTGGATAATCGCTTGGCATTTCGTCTGAGCTTGACTATGATAAAAGTCGAATACGAGAAGCCCAAACGCCACTGAGATACGCCGACTAGTCGGATACTCGTGATATGTCAATATTGTCCACAGCGAAAAGGGTATAAAAAATTCTGATTACGGCCAGCTCTTCGAGTTCTCGACAATTGGTCTTGGCAGTGATGTAACGGAATTCTGGTTCCTCTTGTTGACCATGATTGACACGCAGATGGATAGTTGCGCCTCGCAGTAACACAAGCAGTGCTGGCTTGTTACTCAATTGAAGTTTAAACCACCCTGCATAAAAAACAGCGGCTAACCCCTATGAAAACCCGACTATGATCTACCAGAAACCAAATGCCACACACATATGTGGGGCTATGATAGTGGATCCTCTGAACCCTACATCTACGAAGTTCCAGTTCCAGGAATTTGCACGAGGATTAGCGATAACGAGTATCTTCGCATCTCTTTACGAAAGCTTGAACAGCAAACAAGTCTTGCGCGGCCCGATTGTTTAGGCATGTTGCCAAGGAATTTGAAGGCGATGGTGCAGAAGAAACTCAATGTTGGACATAGAATTTGTGTTGATGTAGCTTTTCCTTAAGGTAAGTGGGTTTTGATGCTAAAGACACAGTGTAATTTTGACCTATTATTTATGGAAACAAACCCCTGCAATATTATCTGACGCGCATGACAACCATAAAATTTTAACAGATTCAAGTTGTATCAAGCTAACAGTGTGCCATTGGCCAGCATTATTTCAGTGTGCACAGAACCCAAATATTGAGAAGCACAATGTTGGATATGGTTCAGGTAACATCTCATAATATTGGGTCAAAAAGTTTGAATTCCTGTAGTTCAGCATGAGCTTGGGATACCTTTCAGGGGTAAGATAGAATATCAAAGTCAGTTGCCACAGTTGTGAAGCTTAGTAGACTCTTTAGGTCCAAGGGTTTCAAAAAGGAGATACTGCACTTGCGGAAAGGCAGTGTCATATTGAGGTAATGCTGCACACACACCTTATGTATATTCTCAAGAGTTACATCAGAGAGTAAAATGGCCAACGCAACTTGGTAAAATCTATGGTAGTTGATTTTGAAGTGATGTTTGTGTTCAGGGCGTAAAGTTTTGGGGTGTGTAAAACAAGAGGTTGGATTTAAATTGGGCTTTGTTAGATGGAACTTATGCTATGTCAGTACAAGGGTCCCTTTGATGGATACAATTCAATCAGACTAGCAATGTAATAGCAAGGGGGATATTGGCTACTTGTGTCCTTTCCATTGATATCAAGTCAATAAACTACATATGCTGTGGGTAGAATGATGGATAGGGAAGGAAATTGGGTTACTATGAGCTATCATGAGATATATGACACAGTTTCAATGTCAACATAGTAGATGTAAGGCACTTCAAGGCCTATATTCATCATTTTAAGTCCACAAAGCCTTGGCCGGCACTGCCACCCATCAGTCATCCAGACTCAGTATTGTCTCACCGTACATCACCATCTTCTAACTGTGACGTGATGTGCACACCTTCCAATCTATGTATTAACAATGTCAATGCATGTTCTTGGTTCCTTACTTTGTTGTTGATGTATAAATTGTACTAAGCAGTCCTCTGCTACCCAGTAGCCTGCTGGATTCTGTAGCATAAGGGTCCACCAGCTTAGGTCCCCACCAAATGACCAGTAGCCCGTCTTAGATGCTACTGGGTTGCAATATTCCGAGATAATGGATATATCAGGGAGAAAATACTGTATTTTTCTATAGATACCAGTGTCCATCTGATAAATTTGAAAGAAAAAGAAATTCTGAGCCAGTCAACTGCCTCTTCTCATTCTGTTCTTGTGCCTTACCTTGCTCAAAAATGTTTCAAGTGCCCCTTATGACCTGTAGAAGTGCTTGGTCACCTCCTTTAGTCACATTAAAAGTCATGTCAATGAGAGATGAAGTCCAATCCATCATGAGAAACCTTCTGTTTCTCACACATAACATTTTTCAGATTTTTTGTCATGTTTTGGGCCTGCAACCACTTGCTTCAAGGCATATTGTGTTCTACAGCATTCAAAGTGTTGTTGTAACATAAGAGGGATTGTAAGAACATCTTTTACTCAAACTCTCAACTGTTAGCCTGGAAAACCCGGCAACACCGGAACCGCTCCGATACGCTATGGATTTCAACCCATTTTGGTATTGGAGCGGAGTGACCGCTATGAGACAAGCAATACTTGACCGAATTTTTTTTGTTAAAAAAATATCACAGGGTATCAGAGCGGAAGGTATTTGCCCGCTCCAATACCGCTATATATTGCCGCTATAAGGAGTAAGACCTGATAAACCTTATATTGGAGTACCCTCAGACCCGGCCGGTATTGGAGCGGTCACTCCAATATCTGATTTCTGGCATCCGGATGGCGGATCAGAGCCACCACTATATGTTGTGGTGAATATAGCGGTGTAAAAACCGCTCTGATACCGCTCCGATACTGCTAAATGTTGCAGAGCGGTTCCAGTATTGAACCCAGTACCAAAGGGTTTGATCAAGTGTGCCGGTGTGGTGATTAATTCATGGGATCAATCAAAGAAAATTGATTGTAGGTTGTTTACCAGGTTAGTAGAACAGTTCAGCATGAAGGAAAACTCAAAATTGATGGAATCTGATCAATAGAAGATCTTTCAGGCTTGTACATTGCACATTATATTATTATGAGGAGATTTATTTCAAACACCTTATTAATATCAGTATGAATTATCACAAAAGATTGTGAAAAGAAAAGAAAGAAAAAACATGAGAAAAACTCAAAAATATAGGTATACAGGCTTGGGAATGGTTTTGAGGGTGTTACTATTAGGTTTATGGGTATTGTGAGGTTGGAATATGAAAGGAAAGAAATTTATTATACAGTAAGAACTTTAATCTTGATGGTTGATAAAGAGGAATGGAAGTTACAGTCAAACCCTTCCAAAGCTGTACCCCTCTAAAGCCTTAAACCCTCTATAGGCATGGTTTTTTGGTTCTCCCAAGTTGGGAGGGGCCAAAATTTGATAAAATCCCATAGTTTCTGCCTAACGCATTAACCCATACCCAGAATTCAGAAAAAAATGATCTTTTCAATGTAAAGCCATAGAAAAGTGGTCAATAGGGAGGTAGGAATCCGTAAATTCTTGCTCCTGAGTATTGTTGCACCAATCAGATGCACACCATGACTGATCAAGAAGACAGTTCACCGCCACCAGAGCACTATGGCATAGTGGCCATACTGTTTGACAAAGCAAATTCACCTTACATCACACAAATTGGGAATCAAAAATCTATGTTGCTGTCTCTTCCTGCTCAGACAACCCTCTAAAGCAATGTTGTTCATGTCTTTAGAGGGATATTCTCTATGGCGGCAGAGAAACCACCCTCTAAAGCCATGTCTTTCATGCCTTTAGAGGGATTTTAATGTATAGCTATGAATGTATGCCTATAGAGGGGTTCCCCAACAAAGACATAACCCCTCTATAGCCATAGCTTTGCCTTTCCACCAAGGGGTATGGCTTTAGAAGGGTTTGACTGTATTACAAAAACAGTACTTTTTTGAAGTTGGTAAACAAAGGTTTTACTGGTGGTTTACATAGGTAATGGTGGTGTTAGTGGTATTTAAGGTTGCCAAGAGAATCTTCCAGGATTTTTAAGGTTATAGATGATGATGTAACATGACAAGAGCAAGAGAGTAGGAGTAATAGCTATCTAAAGTGGTGAAAATGGGGGAATGTTGTCAAAAATAGAGGTTTTTAGCTTATTACATATGTCAAGTGAGGTCAGAATGAGATGATGGATAGTTCATTCAACGCAAAAGAGTTGATTACATGATTTTCAAACTTTGAATCATTAGTAACGGAGGTGCATGAAGAAAGTTATAAGAGGAATAAGAAATTGGTGTGAACTTCAATTTTACACTTACATGCATACATGTAACAAGATTTACATACAAAAACCTTAACTTCACAACTCAATAACTCATCCATTACTCATCAGAAGTACATCATATAGCGCCAATCATTGATCAGTATAACAAGCTCTACAAGATGCACTTTAGTCATCTAAATTTGGACATCATCTGAAAAAACCCGTAACTTCAAAAATAGGGTTTCAGCCAGTTTACAAGCAAAAAATCACCTGTAGTCATCATAAGAAGCGTTATGTAACATCGAATTACATCATTGATCATAGGGCTGTGACCCAGACCCGGCCCCGCCCGGCCGACTTTGCCCAACAACTTTCACAAAGCTGACGGTGTGGAAAGCAAATTCTTCCACAGCTCTCTATTTACATTACCATCATTATCCTCAGTCACAGCCTTCAGGCTCTATTCGAGATGCTACTCAGCAGGAGTGAATTTTTTTGAGTTAACATATTTTAGTTTATTCATTTCATTTATTTATTTCACATTGTTTAAATTACAAGTACATTGAAACCAAAGATGATTGATATAGAAAGGGTCCAAAGGAAGTAGTTGTTTTCAATTGATTAAAAAAGGTACCTAGAAGCGAAATAAAGAAAGAAATCAAATGAGTCAGTAGAGGAACAAACAAAGTAAAATAAAGAAAAGCTTAATTACTTGAAGACCCCAAAATCGAAAATGAAAAGAATGTACATTGTTGAATGGATAGTCAAAATCGAAATGAATAAATCTAAGATCTAAAAAACAAATGAATCAAGAAAAGAAAATAAAGAGTTAGTAAATGAGAAAGTAGAAGAAAGAAAGAACTAAAACTTACTTACATGATATAAAACTATGATATCATAGCACAGCTCAAGATCAAAATTGAAAGTCAACAAATAACAAGAACAAATCAAGATGAGAAAGTGGAGAAAATAGGATAGGAAGGAAAAGACATACCATCATGAGTTCATCAAAAAAAACAGTAGAAATCGAAATCAAATTCATTAACCTATTCATCAAACATTCCTGGAATTGAAATCTATGTCCAAAGCTTTGAAAGAAAGGAGAAGGGGGCTGTGTCAGTAGAAATCAAAGGTCAAAATCGAAATTGAAATTGATTGAATGGGGTACCTACAAGCAAATGAAAGGAACCAAAACAAGATAGAAGATAAGTTAGTATGAAGAACAAACAAAGAAGACAAATGAAATAGAAAGAAACTTACAAAATGATCAAAATCGAAATTGTTATTTAAAGAAGATAATGATGTGTAGGTCCAAAGCTAAAAGATAAGATCAAGATGGGTAGCTGAGATCAAAATTGAATGAGGTTGATTGATGATGGTTGCAGTTGAAAGGAAAGAATTGAATTGATAGAAATAGATAAATTCGTTTTTGGAGTTTAAAGTCAAAAGAAGGAATGAGGGTAGTGTCAGTACTGAACAAGAAGCAAAGATCAAGAGAAAAGAGATGAAAACTTACTTACATTTGATTGATTTAAATCAAAAAGAAGGGTCAGAATCGAAAGGGAGATGAGATTGAGGGTGGTAGGAAGAAGCTTGATGCAATGAGGGTATGAAGTCAAAATTGAAATCGATCGGACCGAGAGTAAAATGAATCTAAAAGTTACACAAGCAACAAAGGAATCAAATCAACAAAAAAAAGAAAGATTAAATTAGTAGGAAGAATGAACAATAAAGAGAAATGAGTAATAGCAAAATAAAATAAAAGAATTGAAATGATTTACCAAATAAGAAATCAACCTATTGATCTATAAAGAAGAATTAAAGGAGTCAGTAGAAAGACAAACAAAGATAGATAGATGAAAAAAAACTCACTTAAATAAAGGTCCAGAATCGAAATTTAGATAACTGAAATGAAGAATGTGATAGTGGAGACAAAAGAAAGTGGAGAAGGAATTAGAAAACTTACTGATGTGATTTGAGAAAGAAAGTCCAATTGGAGATCGAGTTGAAATTGGGTAAGGAGGAAGGGATTGAAGAGTTTCTCTGGAGGAATCTATTTGTGCGTGTTCGTGTTCGTGTCGGGGAAGAGAAGCAAGTGTCTTTTCCTGAAGATCCATCCATCGGATCATCCTGAAGTGTTTTTCTTATTGTTTTGATCGTGTCTGAGCAATCGAGTGTGTTCTGAGTCCAATAGTGTCTGGTGTTATCATTTTGAAGTGTTCTGATTTTCGTATTGGTGTCTGTGTTTGAGTGCTACAATTGTGTCTTACAGTGTCCTTGAGATCGTATAAGGGTCTTTCAGAGATTTCTATTAAAGAATTCGAATCTCATCATTAGTTATTGTGTCTGATCAAACTGAGCTCATTAGTTATTTTTTAGTTTCTATTTTATTTACTTGTAAAAGGAAAGGGAAGAAGATAGATTAGAAAAGCTTACCATTGTTAAAGTATTGATCAAAAGAGAGTTGTTGTTGGAAAAGGGATAGTTATCGTAGTGACTTGTGTGAAATTTTGTTAGTGTGATATTTGTTGTTGCTGAGATTTGTCGCAAAGTAGTCGTCAATTGGTTACAGCCGTTCCAAGAATTATCGGCAGTTTTTGGGCAAAAGCCTGTAAATTTGGCAAAAACTCAAAAGTCCAAAACCCCTGGCAAAAAGTTTTTCTTAAAGTCTGGTCTTGACGTATTTGGTGAGAGAATGTCATTTTTCCTTGACAGTTCTCTTGGGATATCCATAGTATCCCATCCCGAGGTCGTCACGAGGTTTCTCTGATTGAAGCGGATGTTTTTTTAGTTTTTTTTTCCTTTTTTCTATCAAATGCCATCCCTCCGATTCCCCCCTTTCCAATTGTCGAATTACTTTTTCCCTCAAATCGAACGTCATCATATCCTTCCAGCATCAAACACTTCAATCAAAGCTTTTTCAAAGCTTTTTCCCTCATTGCTCATTCAAGAGTCAGTCCTTTCTGTCTCTTGTTCTTGCCTCTGACTCATACAATCACTCACACTCAGCGTATATCCTTTTAGGGATGCCGGTCACTCTTTACAGCGCTGATATCAAGGTCGTGGTGGTTCGATTGGTCTTACGTGGGCTGCGGTTCCAAGATATTGTCCGAACTCTTGGAGTGGATGTGTCCCTCACATCAGTCCGGCGATGGTTTAACCTCTACCAAACGACTCGTGCAGTGGTGACCAATCCACTTGACCACATGCGCCGTGGTCAACCAAACTCCTTAGGCGCGGCCGAACGCGAATTCGTCCTGGAATCGCTTCGTCATGATCCGACACTGTACCTTGACGAGCTTCAAGAAAGGATTCAAGATACTCATGGGGTTCGAGTCTCTATACAGACCCTTTCCAGTGAGCTCCGCGACCGCCTTCTCTGGACTCGAAAAAAGGCTCGAACTGTGAATCCAAATCAGTCTGCCGAGGCCCGAGGTGCCTACATTGCGGCTGTTCACAACATTGACCCTCGGTGCTTGGTATTCACAGGTGAGCCTCTAATGGATTTCTTTAAGTATTCATTTCTTTATTCTGACTCTCTGTCACTTTGATTATAGACGAAACTGCTCTGAGCAAGCGAAGGCTTTATCGCGACTTTGCTCGAGCCCCTGTGGGTGAACGGACAGCCAGACTTCAAAGGCCAACTCGAGCATCCCAATGGTCTGTATTGCCGGCTATATCACTGGATGGCATCCTCGCGGTTCAAATCAGGAAGGGTGGTTACTCCCACCTCCAACAAATTTAAATCGCATCATGGCATGCGCGCTCACGTCGCGTTTTGGGATGCGATTTCAGATCGCATATGTGACATGCGATGAAACGCCTGTGCGATGTGAGATCGCACAGGTTTCATGCGATCCAACTTGTGAAATCGCATCCTTTTGTGCGATTTGACTCAGATCCGATTTAAAATCGCATAAACTCAGCGTGACCTTATCCTCAGGCGAATCAAGATCGCATTGGCTCAATGCGACTCAACCGCTCAGGCGATTCATGATCACATCAATCAAATGCGACTCAACTGCGCAGGCGATTCAACCCATGGGATTGCACCAAAAATATCCGAAAAAAATGTCTCATCGCTACACTTAAATGTGATCCAACCTCGCCTTGTTTCATGTGATTCTACCCCGGATTTATTATTGCATCCTCCCATCCGATTCAATCCCACTTTCCATTTATGAAGAAATGATTGAAAAGTTTCTTGATCAAATCACAAACTACACAATTTTAATTCTTGTATGTTGCCCAGCTTGAACTGTGACCTGGCCTTGAGAATGAAATCTTGATTGAAGGGCTAGCTGTGACGGTGAGAAAAGTTACTTTACCATCTTGTAAGATAGCTGGATTTACTATTGATGACAAAGGAGTCCAAATCAGTCTTCTTTACTGCTTTCATTTCAAACTATAAGTTTTGAGAAATTATTTTGTACTTCTTACATATCCAGGAAGAACTAGCCCCATCGGCGGCGGGCGCCGCACAGCTCCTTCCCAAGAGATTCTTTGGAGTTTCACCCTGATCTCAGTTTCACAACAGCCATGATACATTATAGCCAGTATCTTTGTTTGAACCTTGTTGAGTGTAACAATGATCTAATCAGTCTACTTCTACTGTCCAATTTTCAATTCTGTAAACTTTCTTCTTGTTCTTCTGTGGTAGTACTGGGTTATAAATCCCACTGTGGAGAAATCAAACAAAACAAAAAAAGAGCAAAGATCTGGACTTGATGTTTTAAACATTTTCATTTATTCCAATTAAAGAAATAAAATTGATTTTTGATGACTTACTTTGAAGGATAAGGTATCAGTTCTATTGCTATAATAATCAAACTTTCACATCATTTTAAAAAACATACAAATTTCTTTCTATTATTTGATTTCATCAAATAATTCAACATAAAACTAAGCCAAAAAATGATTCAAACTTAAAATTGATAGAATTTGACTCTGATGAATGTAAAGAAAGAATGACTAACAAAATGATCATTCCATTAATTAAAAACACTTAACATCCCTTTAAAACTAACACAAACCTTGTTTCAACACTGCCACCTAGCCAGTCCTGATATTACTTTCATTTCCTGCAACTTCAACTGATACTGAAGATCAAATGAATCCAATCAATCTATATTGTGATTCAGACACATTCAAAATTCCCAAAATTTTGAAATACTAATCTTGAATTAATTTTGAATAGGTTGAAATCCTCAGTCTTTGATTGATATAAAATTCATCTATTTTCAAGTTGCATGAGCTAAAAGCAATTTAATTTGTGATACTTGTGGTACATTTTGTTTTAATTTCTTTCCAATCATTTCACTTAACAAACTTGAAAATTCAGTCTAAGAGAAAAAAACTCCTGAATTCAGTTCAACTTGTTTTCTTGTTGTGGATTTTGTATGATGAACTTACCATTGCATCTAAATTATTATGATTGTTCATATTCATTAGGTTCAAGTACCATTCAGGCTATGCATAGAAACTCAACCAAGCAATAAGTTAAATGAATGAGACATTCAACTGATTCGGAAGTTTGATATTCACCTTGTCTGATCGATTGGTAGATTTGGTGGTAGATTTTTGACTATTGAAATGATGTGTGAACCTAAGTTAAATAGGTCTAACAATAGATTTGATTGTGATTACATTAGGTAATGGAAAGCAAAGATTGTTCTGAAAATTCATTGACTGATTGTACTGCGCGATTGAAAGGTGAAACTCACGGCTTGGAGGAGGTACCAGTAGAAGATTCAGGACCAGTTGTTACAGTGAGACTTTTGATTTGGCTGGGTTCATATGGTTTTGATGGAGCGGACTAAACCATAGGTAATCAAAAAGCAAAGTATCATCCGGCTGACTGGTTGTGATGATCGGTCACAATTCCAAGAATTGGGTGAAGAACTGACAGCACTACTCCAAAGACCTCCTCAACTTTTGGCCACGGATAAAGTTTGACTAACAGCAGTAGCCCGAACAGAGGACCGATAAGTGCCAGTTGAACAATCGGAGGAAGTCTTTCACGACCAGGAGGTCGATTAGGAAGAGAGCTTATAGAGGTGTGGGCCTGATCAACTTCTTGTTCTTGTTTGGCTGCCCTCCGTTTTGATTGTCGGACTTTTAAACCTTGAAGTAAAGGAACTATAATCTGTCCTAATCGAGGTAAATGCTGCTCTAATGTCATAGGGGACGCATCTTTGGATGAGGCTGCTTCGAGACAGTTATGTAGATTGTCTGGAACCAAATGGCAATCGCTAATAAGAAATGAAGAGATAGTACAATCATTGGATCAATAACCGAGATAAGTCAATCGGACCTTTGAAAACAGGAGGAGATGATGTGGACCAACTTCATTTCAATACCTTCCTTGGAGCATTGAACGCACTCCCTAATCTCACATGAACATCAGATCCACCGCTTTCATCGATCCAGCCATGTGACTGACTTTCAAGTGGCTGCTTAGTTGCGACCACTAATCGAGTAACAGTAGATTATACATGAGAAGAGGTGAATGGATTGATAGCAGTCTATAAGAAAGATGTCAAGGTTACAAACATATTCAGTTGATTGTGTGATTTGTGATTGAGATAAGATAAAACAGCATACGCTTGTGCTAATTCTAGTACTTGGAGAACGATCACTGGAACGATAACCAGAGCTGGCTGGAGGAGAGAAAGCGATGGAAGAACTTGCCCCGTGAGAAACCGTCGGATTGAAGGTGTGGTACCAGATGTATATCCATTACATCTTGAATACAAATTTGAATTGGATACTGAAGTGAACTGAAAGGGAATCAGATTGGACCCGATTTAACAAAGGACAGTCTTATCTTTGTGTGTTTTTGGGGTCGAGATGACTTGGTATCTTGAGGGTTGAATTAATTGTAATGGTTTTGCTGAGAGTAATCTGTGCTCGGTATCTTCAATCGCAACAACTTTGAAGGTAGACAAATTGTGTTGTAAGGTTGCTGAGTAATTTGATTCAGGAATGATTTCAGGATTTTGATGTAATTTCTCCTCAGGGGTTCGGTGGGTTTGATGTGATGTTGACTATGGTTTGCTTTTAGAAGAAGTTGTGTTATTTCTTTGGGAGAGGTTTATTGGGTTTGGAATGGTTTGAAGGATTGAGTTTGGTTTGTGCTTGAAGTTGATGGGATCCCATTGAACTTGGAAAACTGAATAAGATTTGATAATTCGGATTTCAATATAAGTTGAAAGATGAATCGTTTCTTTATGCTGTAACCTAAGCTCACCCCAAACCAAAAATCAGTTCAATTCAAAACTTTGAGCAATCAGAAGAGAATACGACTAACGACTTCATGACCTCTCATAGATTTTACTGTCCAAAGATCAAAAGGCCTATCATTTACATCAGGAACCTGAATTTCAGTAGGAGTCAAAATTATTCGTTGTAACTTGTTGTCTATGAAATAAAAATAATTGTTCTAAGAAATTTCAGTTGACTCGAGTTGAATCTTTGTTGATATTTGTATGTGATATAGTTTTGAATTTAAATGACTGTTCAACAGGGTTTCTTTGAAAAAAGGATATGAACTTTGAAGAGATTTTGTGATTAGTTTTTCTTCTTTGAAAGTGTAACTTTGATCTGATCGAGGTACTGTTTGTTTGAAGTAAGAGGTATAAAGTTGAATAAACCATGGGATTGAAGGTGAGTTTAGTATACTCCAAGGTATTTGAGGGTGGTTCTGGTTTGACTCGGGTGTGGGAAGATGAGAGTCAATTGAGGTTTGATCTGGGTTGATTCAGTTGTGGGAAGGTGAAGATGGAAAGGTGTGATTTGGGGTGGCACACGTCACCATGGATTTAATTGGTTGGGACGCGTAAACCTCGAAATTTGGGATAGGAATTGGGGGTTTTGGGAGTTTTGCCGCCAAACACAGTCTTCCTTTAACTTGAATGATTCCACCAACATATTGAACTGTAGTAAGATATCTTCTATTACCAGAAGTGGTATGACATTCAGTAGCATTCCACCCAACCTCTGAAAGAAACATGAATTGCAAATGAGTAGGGACCTACAACAACTTGTGTTATACATGAAATATGTGTAATCTATTGGAATCAATACATATTTTTGAAAATGTAAACAAAATTTCAATGAAGGTCACTTTTAATTGTGAACTTTTTGTGAAGTGTGAACTTCATGCAAAGTTCACAGAAAATTGGAGTTCACATTTTTTTGTGAACTTCATTATTTGTATATGACCAAATCATGTCCTCAGATTTCTATTGCTTTCTGCCATCTCTTGGGTGGTTTACAATGGTTGAAAGTTGGCTTTTTTACGTAGTTGACGCTACAACAATATGTGGTATACATAAAATATGTGTGTTTTATTGAAATCAATGAACCTTTTTAAAAAAGATTAAACAAAACTTTGATAAAGTACATATTGAATTGTGAACTTTTTTCAAAGTGCACAAAAGAATGTAAACTCCATAAACAGTTCAAAATGGAAGTTTACAATGACACTTGAACTTCATCCAAATTTCACATTTTTTCGTGAACTCCATCCAAAGTTCACATATGTTTTGTGAACTTCATCCAAGGTTCACATTTTCTTGTGAACCTTTTCTGAAGTGCACATCTTTTTGTGAACATTTTCCAAAGTTCACATTTTTTTGTGAACTTCATTCAAAATTCACATTTCATTGTGAACTTTTTGTGAAGTTCACATTTATTAGTTGAGTTCACATTCATTATTTGTATATGACCAAATCTTGTCCTCAGATTTCTATTGCTGCCATCTCTTGGGTGGTTTACAATGATTGAAGTTGGCTTTTTTATGTAGTTACACCACGGGGCAATTGTTGAGCCAAAAGCTGAGCTCAAAAGTCGTCGTGTCCGAAATTCGGTCAAACGCTGGCCGAAAGCTGAAGTTTCGGTCAGATCTTGACGGTCAGGTGAGACCGGCTGTTTTCTGGCCGAAACCTGAGCTTTCGGCTTGAAAAAAGCCGGTCGGTTGGCTGGTCGATCTGGCCGTATATCAACCAGCCGTATGGCTGTCAAAGGTTGGCCCAAAACCGAGCTTTCGGCCAGCTTTTCAAGCGTTCAAAAAGCTGGCCTTGAGACGGTCAAACAGACGGCCAAAAGATGGGTATGGAGTAGAGTGGGCTCCACACGATTTAAATAAGTTTGAATCACTTGTGACTGTAAGATGTCACAAGTTAATGACGATATAAGGTGAAGTCTGTGATGAACTTCTTGGTAAAGTCCTTATCCACATTCCTTTTGACCTCCATCATCAATCAACATCGCCAGCTTTCTTTCCATCTTTCTCAAGACTCTCACATCAATGCAGAGATGTCCAACCCCACATACAGTATAGCTTCCTCATCATCGCCTCGTCTTCGTCTTCAGCAAATGGAAGCAGTTTTTCTTGAGCTTTCTACTGCCGGACTAGGTAGTTCTTCGCTCTGGAAGAATACCGACAGTCAACTCTCCCGATTCCGATCAAAAGGACCTCGTTATACCAAAGCGTGAGTGATCCGTTTTCAATTTCTTATTGATTTTAATCACACTGATTTCATATTGGTCCAATAGCTTCTACAAGCTTGTCATCGACGAAGACAAACGACTTTTTGATGGCCAACACACCGCTGAAGATTTAAGAAAATTAAATTTAACTGACTTCAAGCTTCCAACTGAATCACAAGTCGATGCAGCTATTGCTGCCTTACCTCAACACCCCTCTGCAGATACTTAAATTATGTTCTACACATCAACATCATCCATATTGTTATCCTTTCAGATTATCTTTGTTTCATTCTATTACATATGTATCTTTTTTGTATCGCATAAACAATAAAATATGTACATAAATTGCAATTCAATTGTATCAATCAAAATAAAAGCCAGTCAAGAAGCGACTGGATCTGAGCCAGCAGAACGATAATGGTCAAATACCGGCTACAGACCATCAATTGACCAGCAGACAGCTAGTCAATCGATCGATCAAGAGCCCACGCGGATCATCTCAATTGGCTCGAAGCTAGCCGCTTGATCGGCTCACGGCCGTCTTTTGGCCAGCTCACGGCCGCCAGCGAAGACCAGCCAAAAGACGGCCATTCCACTGACCGGTTTTCGGCGGCCAGCCACCACCAAGCGAATCTGGTCTATCGGCGGTCTTTCCCGACCATCAAACGGCGAGCTCAATTGCCCCGTGGTGTAGACGCTACAACAATTTGTGGTATACATAAAATATATGAAGTTCACAAAAAGTTCACACAATGAAATGTGAACTTCACAAAAGGTTCATGATGAAATGTGAACTTTAGATAAAGTTCACAAAGAAATGTGAACTTCCAATGGTTCATATGTTATGTATAATACAAATTGTACGCATTTCTTATGTATAATACAAATTGTACGTATATTCCATGTATGATACAAATTGTACACACATTTTTTTCATGTGTAATACAAATTGTACGCATATTTTATTTATAATACAAATTGTATGCGTATTTTGTATAATACAAATTCTTGTAGCATACAAGTACGTAAAGAGAGCCAACTTTTAATTATTGTAGACCACTCAATAGATAGCAAAAAGAAATTGAAGTTTAAGGACTTCATCTCATCAGAAAACAAATGAAAAATGTGACATTCACAAAAAGTCCAGAGGAAAATGCAACCTTCAGATGAAGTTCACAAAAGTATGTGAAGTTCACAATAAGATGTGAACTGCAGATGAAGTTCACAAAAATAAGTGAACCTCAGATGAAGTTCACAATATGATGTGAACTTCAGCTGAATTTCACAAAAATATTTGAACTGTAGACAAAGTTCACAATAACATGTGAACTTCAGAAGAAGTTCACAAAAATATCTGAACTGTAGAAAAGTTCACAATAACATGTGAACTTCAAATGAAATGAGATGAAGTTCACAAAAATATGTGAACTTTAAATGAAGTTCACAAAAATATGTGAACTTTAGATGAAATTCACAAAAATATGTGAACTTCAGATGAAGTTCACAATCAAATGTGAACTTCAGATGAAGTTCACAATTAAATGTGAACTTCACCACAATTTGACCATACAATGTGAAGTATAAATGCAATTTACATAAATATGTGAACTTCAGGAAAGATTCACAATAGAATGTGAACTTAATCACAATTTTGCTTACATTTTATCCAAAATTCAACTACGGTCAACCAGCCAAAAAATAGCAGGAACAAATAGAAGTCTGAGGGGTTGATCTTCCCCCCAAAAAAATGCAATATTCTGACAAAGTTCACAATAAAATGTGAACTTCAGATGAAACTTCATCAAAACTTTATTTACATTTTCAAAAAGGTGTAGCAATCCATAAACTACGCATATTTTCTGTATAAAAAAAGTTGTTGTAGGGTAATATTAGGTTAGGTGTAGCTCCTCAGCAGCCAAATCAAAGCTCTCAGAATGTGCATCATCATAGTGCATAACAAGTTTCACTGAAGAGGTTGTAATAAAAAAACAACTGGCGGCACAGCCTTTCCCATCTCCTCTGTCTCTCCTATTTTGAGAAAAACGTTTTCAAAAATAGAAATTGAAGCCTTGTTATTGCTCAGCCTTTGAAACTTTCAGACTCAAACTCTTCTATATTTATCCCTAAAGATTCAAAAGCACTGGAAATTTACAGAAATGAACAGCAAAGATACAATGTAAACCCAAATGCCAATCCTAAATCTTTTCAGAAAAAAGTGACTGAAAAAGAAACACAAAGACTTACTAAAGAAGCATTTGTTCCATTTGCAAAACATCGCCTTTCCAAGGTTTTGGTTGTTCATGCAATTGTTCCCTAAACTCTTCTTTAAGCTTCATACAGTTCTCAATTGATATGGCGGAAACAAAGTCGGCTGAACATTCCCCAAGCAAAAGATTTGATTAATGTGAATAATAACCAAATAATTACAGCTGTTTTATCTCAAAGATTGAGCACAGCTTACCAGCTACCTTGATACAATTCGCTAGATTACAGACTTGATGTGCCGTGTACGCAGGTATGAAAACTGCTTCTCCAGGTTTCTATTTCATTTATTCAATGCAAACGAGTCATTGGTCAAAAAAAGAATCTATGAATTTCCAACACCAATGAAAAGAAACAATCACAGACCTGTCTAATCTCATAGCCTTTCACCCCATATTCTTTGCGCAGTTTGTTTCTCATCTCAGCGTCAATGTAAGTTCTTGTCCTATAATTAATTTATCCAAAAAGCAGATCAAATCAGAAACAGTCGCCATCATGAAAGATATGATGAACAAACATACACATGAATTGGATCATCATATCCACTCTTAACCTCTTCAATCGAGATCCCTAATTGTTGAGCATGATGTTCATAGAGAAATTTACGTACTTTCTCCGTATCATTAGCATGATATAGATGCCATAAAGACTGGGGATCAGATCAAAAATTACTTCAGTGTTTTGCTATATTGTTGTGAGTCGTAAATTGAGATCTCAATCTAAAGCATATCAGATATGTTTGCTCACACAACCTTCTATTCCTTCCGGATTACATCTGGCATACGTTTGGATATTGATGGCATCTACAACAAAAAAATCATGAATTGATCTTATATATCAGGCACCCGGAATTTGATTGATAAAAGTTGGCTCAACCTGACATGTCCATATGGAGACTTCAAAGCAAACAATCCCAGATGAACGGTTAGATGGATGTCAAAAAGAAAGAGATCAATCTTGATTTAGATCAAACTACAAACCCGGTTGATCCAGATGATCCACTTTGATCTGAAGTTTGCATAGCAATGTACATCTATATAATCCATCACTCAAAGCAGTCAACACAAAGCCAACATGTGAAAGAGAACAAAGATTCAAGACAAAACTCACCTTTGGTCCACTATGTCAGAACAAACAAAACTATTAGTAAGAAGGAAACAGGATGATTGATGGTCGCATGGAAAAGCAGATTATCCAAAAAGGTATCACTTACATATCTGGTACGTTTGCATTCTTAGGAAAATGAGCTATGAGATTCTTCAATCCAGTTGGCCTAGTGCTCTCTCCCATGGGTACTGCTCTCTGGAAATCTTCAAATAAGTCACGAAACTTCAGATTCATGTCTATCTCGGGTGGCCAATCCTATAGGCAACAATTAGACACAAGCACATTCAGAAAACTTTACCTCTAAGTGAGCAAAAGAATACAGACAAACCCTTAGTTTCCATGCTGTTGCATCATAGAAATTCGATCCTTTGAATCTCTCAAAAAAGTCTGCAACATTTGTCTTGATGGTGTCACCATGCGGCGAGTTGGAGTCCAACATGCTACACTGTTCCTCTCCATAATTTGTGCTCAGATATTCAGGATCCCAAGGTAATTCCATTCGATCTTGAGTCCCAGTCACCACTAGAGGAACCCCGGATGACCAAATCTGATCAAACATCATGTGAGTAGATTCAAGTGTGTTAATATCTACTTTATAATAAGGATCACTTTCTGAATCCGGTGGATGATGAATGAAGTCATCAATAGCGACAGGTGGAGGTGGAGGTGTGGTATTGATGGAGTCTTGTCGAAAGACCTGATCGATCTCTTCTAAGTATTTCAAGATTTCTTCCCGAGCTAGATGTGATACTTTGAAGTGTGAAGAAGTGTCATGTTGAGATCCAAACGCTTTCACACAACGACCAGTCCGTTTGATCCAAGAAGAATGACGATTGTGTCCATCTGCACCGTTTCGATTGTCCTTTTCTTGGTCATGTTGATCAGACAGTGTTTGAAAGATGTTGAAGCACATCACACATGCTTCCTTCCCACACCTTTCACACATCCAAGCTACTCCAATCAACGTTGTCGCACAATAATCACATTGAGTTGATACATCAATCCTTCTACCGATAAAATGACACTTTGACTTTTTTGAAATTCGATCAACTCTCTTTGCAGACAGGTTTCAATGCTTTTCCACAGTTCTCCTTAGATTAATTAATTCATTCATATGTGCAGGTAATTTGTTGAATATCAGAAATTGAGCTTGACGATAAGAAGTTTGAAAGGCTGTTTGATTAATAGACTCGAAGATTGGTCCTCCTACTAATTTAGCTGTATGTTTCTCATAGATCCATGATCAAATATGAATAAATGCGCAGATAAATCCCCCTTTTCTACTAATACAAGATGAACATCTATATTTTTTCAATTCTGACGGTAATGATGCACAATTCCTACTCTGTATTTGATATTCAAATTGTGGCAATAGAGTTCCATTAGAATCTGACAATTGCTCAAAACTAAGTAATATGATTCGTGGATTTTTTTTAGACTTTTCCATTGATTCATTCTTTAATTTTGGAACTAATAGGTTGGCGTTGTGAATGGATGGATTGTTGGCGTTTGGTAAATTAAGAATCAATTTTTTTTTTTTTACGGGTTGTTCGATGTCTAAAGGTTGAGTCAATGATGTGGATGGAGATGAATGTTTGTCAAGAGACTCTTCATTTGCACTTGCCCCACTGATAGATATGGTGAGCGGATCTTCAAAGCAAAATTCTTTCTGTTTCTCGTTTGTAGATTTATTCATTAATTTGTTCTCTAATTTTGGAACTGAGATATTGGTGTTGTCAATGGATGTATTGTCGGGGTTTGGTAATTTAAGAATCAACTTTTGTTTTTTTTTGATGGGTTGCTGAATGTCTGAATTTTGAGTCACTGATACTGATGGAGATGAACGGTCTTGTTTGTTGGAATACTCTTCATCCTCACTTGCGCCGCTGATGGATAAGGTGATTGGATTTTCAAAACGCAGTTCTTCCTGTTCCTTCAATCTGGCTTCTCTCAGGCTCTTGGATATTCGTATGAAAGTTTGTGTGTTTGAAGAATACATGTCCTTCCATCCGTCTGCGCTGGGATCGTGTAAATGAGGCCATTCATGGTTGACGATCGGTATAGGAAGTGTAGATGTGAAAGTGAGATCGAGGGGGACGTAATGTGTTTTGTTATTTACATGAGCAATCACAATCGGTCGTATATCAGAAGGGGGAGGTGAAAAGAATGGGAATGTGTGCATGGTTGCAGCGTTGTATTGAGTATAGAAGATGACAGGCTGGTTGTATGTGTTGGCAATGAGAGTCATGCCACCTGGCATTGGGTACCAAAGGTCTCGGCCTGCTGAGCTGTCTGGGTTTTGAAGTATTGCGAGTAATTTTTGTATATCATAGTTGATACACAAATCCGGGATGTACTTCTCGTACCAATCATATCGCATACGAACCTCCAATTCCATCTCACTACGAATAATGGTTGCTTCTTCTGGTGACCGACCAAGGCAGACAGCGATGGACGCAAAAGAGCAAAGACCTTCGCCTGGCACTTCGGTGACATTTCTTAAGAAAGGGTACAGGTAAGCGGGAATTTCATCTATGTAAGGTAAAGGCTGGAATGTGATATAGCAAGTCAGTTTATGCTCTGCTGTGATGTTGGGATCCAAATATATCAAATCTTCCTGACCTTTAGCATTTCATGATCTACTGTAGTGATTCTGTTATCACTCTCTGTTTGTTGAGTCGGTGGCTAAACGTAAAAGTAGATTGCACAAAAACAAAAGTGCATGACTTCAGCATTTGAAATGAGCTGAGG